AAAAAAGGCCTCAGTGAGCTGAGCATGGTGGTGCACACCTGTAATCCCAGCACTAGGGAGGCTGAGGCAGGAAGATCACCATGAGTTCAAGGCCTCCCTGGGCTACATAGGGAGTCCCTATCTCAAGACAAACAAAAAAGGCCTCTATGGTGAGCACCTGCCTAACATATGTGGGGCCCTGGGTTCTAACCTCAGCACTGCCAAAATTAGTTATGCACTGAGTTTCAATCAAGTTAAAAACGTGTGCCTGTCAAAAGACACTGTTAAAAAGTCCATCACTCACTACAGGGGAGTGTCACTCAGCCAGGAAAAGGAGCCAGCTGTGACTGGACTCCATGTGGACGGACCTTGGGGACACTGCTCAGTGAGTGATGCCAGACACAGGACACAGTGTGGGCTCCACGGACAGGAAACGCCCAGGACAGGTGACTCCAGAGACAGGAAGTAAACTCAAGGGTGTGGGGCTGGGGAGGGGACAGATGCCCGTGGGGCAATGGAACGTTCTAAAAGTGGACTGTGGTGACAGCTGCACGTGACCTTATTAGAAATGAACCAGCCCTGCTCCCCCGCTCTCCTCTCAGCCTCCAAGAACATCCCTGCTGTCAGGAGATGGGGTCCCGAGAGTAAGCGAGGGCCCACACACCAGGGTCCGGGAACAGACATGAGCCAGGGTGCAGTGCACCAGAGCTGAGCCTGTGCTGGCCGTTGAGGGCCTATCAGACAGGGTCACACGAATCCTCTGAGAGCCTTGGTGTCCCCTGGGCAAGGCGGCATCTCAACTTCCTTAGGCTCAGTGTCCACTGGGCCAGAGTGGTGCTCGCAGGTGGGGCTTGTGGCCTCACTGTGCCCGTCACTGGCTTCTCATGAGCCACTCACTGGGAACCAGCAAGGAGCTGGGCCTCTGCACCAAGCACCACCGGGAGAAGGCGCCCAGCACCTCCACAGTGCTAGGAGGTGTGTGACTGAATTAGGCCTATGGCCCAGAGCCACGAGACCAGGTCCCACCCCACCGAACATCAGCCTGTGACCACATGGGAGACAGGGCCTTGGAAGACGAAGTGAGACAGGAGACTGGGGCATGGCAAAAGCTGGCTGGGGAAGCAGGCTGGACCTGTTGATGACAAAGATCCAGACACACACGCAGAATAGTTCCCAAAGCCCTGCAGGTGGACTCTCAAACTCCAGCCGGTTTTCAACTGGATGGGCTAGACCTGATATCAGCCTGAGGTGGACCCCAGTGCCGCCCCTCAGGACTCGCATGGAGGAGTTCTTGTGGGTTTCCTGAGATTCGGACAGCATAACAGGAGAGGCAAGCCATGAAGAGCTTCTATCATAGCTTTCTGCGACAGCTCAATAGCCCACGCTACATTTCCCAGATGCAGTGTGTACTTTTATCTTTGTTCTAAGCCTTTTTCAATTTACTCAGCCCAAGCTCGTTCTCCAGAGCTAGTTTCTCTCCCATTCTTCACTTTTACTTTGCTGAATAAACTTTGCCACTGCTTTTTGGTCGTTTCGCTCAATTCTTTGTCAGAGACAAGAACCTAGACTCCAACTCCAGGAAAGGCCAGCAGTCCCCACACCCAGGAACATTTAGGTGGTGAGCCACTTTTCAGAAGAAAGCTACCCAATAACAGAAGGAAAGGTAGAACGAGGGCATCCGGGTGGCCTAACCCAACCTGCCTGGGTCCCTGGAGAAGAGGGGATGGTGACACGGTTGCAGGGAGACACGGAACTGCACCCTGACCTGGCCGTTGGCCTCCAGGACCTGAGGAAAGGCTGTGGGAGCCCACACACCTGAGAGCAGAGCTGGTGCATCACATGCCCGAACTCATGGAAGTAGGTTTCCACCTCATCATGCTGCAGCAACGACGGGGCATCTGGCGTGGGCTTGGTAAAGTTGGCCACCATGGCTGCCACCGCGACCTGGCGGCCACCGTCTTGCCGAAGGCAGCCAGGCTGCAGTCCGAAGCAGGCCGCATGGCCGTACTTGCCTTCCCTGGGGAGGCAGTGGGTCAGGCCTGGCCTGGGGCTGCCACACAGGTAGACTTCCCAGGGGACCAGAAGCTCCAGGGGTCCCCAACAATGCCACTGAGCCCATGGGATGCACTGCAGGGCCTGAGCTCCTGGGCGGGGAACTCTGTGCTGCGTGCGCCACCCCCACCCCCGGGCCAAGACAGAGCAAGGCCCGGTCTGTGCAGCCACACAGTGGGGTGAGGTGGCAGTGCCGGCCAGGTCCCCTGTGCTCCTCCGCTGATCCTCCCCTTGATAGCCATCCATCCTTCCCACCCCGTGAATGGAGACAGGGTTTGTGGCGACCCCAGGGCGCCCACCTGGGGTAAAGGTCCAGGTAGAACTGGCCGATGAGCTGGCCTGAGGCCGCATCGTGCACCGAGTAGAACTGCACATCTTCGTGCCACACGGCGCCTGCCTCCTCCAACTGGAAGGTGAGCCCCAGGAGCTCCTGGTAGATGCCCAGCAGCCCGCGGGTGACCACCTGCATGGGGAAGTACTCCTTGAGGAGGTTCTGGTCCACGCGGTAGCGCGTCTCCTCCACCTGGTTCATGTAGTAGCGCATGTCCCACGCGTGGATGCGGCCATCGAAGGGCAGCCCCCGGCGCGCGCACTCTGCCTCCTTCAGCTCCAGGATCACAGCGCGCTCCTGCTCCCCCAGGGGCTTCAGCTTCTGTGCCAGCTCATCTGCAGGGCCAGGAGGCGCTGTTACACTCCGCCCCGCCCCACCCACCCAGAGCCCGTGGTGCTTGGTGGGCCAGTTACCTAGGAAGGTGGCCACGGCCTGGCTGGTCTTGGCCATGTTCATCTCCAGGACGTAGTCGGCGTGGGTGCCGAAGCCCAGCAGGCTGCACTTCTGCGCCCGCAGTGCCACTAGCTCCTTGAGGATGGCGCAGTTCTCCTGCAGGCAACACGGTGGCTGTGGGCGCCGTGCCCTCTGCCACCTGTACCCCTGGACAGGGGAGTCTGCCCCATCTAGCTTCCCACAGCTACATGCAAACCCCAGTCCTTTTCAAAACCAGGAAGGGCTATGAATAGGAAATGACATGGGGGGTAAGAGGGGGTAAGGGAGTTTGAGTGCATCACAGTAGTGTTTGGGGACCCCACACCACCCAGGGTCTAGCCCCTGTGCCCAGCTCTGCCAGCCTCCCCTGCACACTCGTAGGGACCGAGGTCCGAGGCTTGCAAAGCTTGTGGCTGTGGGCTTGGGGGTACACACAGTGAGACCCATGTGACTCCCTGATCCCCCTTGAGCCTGGGAGTTAGGAGACTGCAAGTGAGGTGCAGACCTGGGTCCACAGGGCAGACCCCTCTGTGTGGCAGCACTGACAACACAGTCCCCTCGGGCCTGGCCCTTAGCTCAGCCCCACAGGGATGCGGACACACATGGCATCCACACAGGAGCCGACAGTGAGCGCCAGGCCACACTGCAGGCCAGCGGCACCTGTGGAGCTGAGGCCAAGCTGCACCCACACAGCCGCCTCCCTACGGGCACAGCCAGCGCCAGAGCCAGCAGCTGTGTTACCTCTTTGCAGCGGGAGTTGAAGGCCTTCTCCACCTTCCTCCTAGTCTCTGGCACGTGGCACTTCTTCAGGAGTGGGAAGTAATGGGGGTACTTCAGCGTGACCTTCAGCTTGCCATCTTCTGTCTTCTCCAGTGCATTCACAAAGTCCTCAGGAAGCCCCCCTGCAGGGCCGGAGGTGGCACTGGAGGGGACAGGGAAACCACCCCCCTCCCTGCACCTGGGGCAAGAAACCTACAGTGCACAGGGCCCTGAGTGGCAGGGAAGGCAGGCAGGGTCCCTTGGGGAGATGCCAGAGACCTCATATGCCAAAAACGAGGTCAGAAAAGAGCCACCAGGAAAACAAGGACATCAGGGTCCCCATGCAAAGCGCGATGACCCGAGAAGGAGCAGCAGCTTGGGGCGGGCAGGACCTCGCTCCAGGGCAGCACCCAGCTGTGTACCCAGTTCCTCTCTCGTGAAGGGCAGGAAGGTGGTGTCCTCATTCAGGTTCTTGTTAAAGTCGATGCACAGCAGGCTCAGCTTCTTCTTGATGCTCTTGATTTTCTGCAGGAGATGGCAGAGATGGGATGGGGGCCCTGGCACCCGAGAGCTTCCTCCCAGACCCAGACAGGAGCAGGACAGCTGGGATGAAAAGAGGAAGGGGGACAGAAAGGACACAGCCCACAGAGCTGGAACCTGTGTGTCTGTCCTCACCTGAGGGCCCCTGCGGTCCCTCCTGCTCAGGCCCTACTCACAGAGGGTGGCGTGAGCCTGCTGACCATTCACCTGGGATGCATCTGAATCCTTTATCACCCCCAGTAATGAGGGAACCAACTCCACAGGGAACTAACTCCTGCATGGCCTGGAGACCGCACTCTAGGCCCCACCTACACAGCAGCAATGGCGCCTTAGGTACTTGGGTGGGTAAGGGCCCAGCTCTGGCACAGGCTGCTGCCTATACTAGCCAGGTCTGTGACTCTGCTCTGATGCTTCAACCCAGGCCGGCTGACCCTGCAGCCACAGCCCCTCTGAGGACAGCCATTCCTGCAGACACAACGACCAGCTCCGCACCCTCCAGGCCCCGCCTCCTCCCTAGAGGACCCTCATTTGGGGCACTGTCACCTGCCCTACCACTAGTGGGCCTGGTTGTCCTGTGCCTGGAGTGCCTCATTGAGCCCACCCTGAGTCTGGGGTTCAGCTGGCCTGGGCCTCCTCAGGTGAGCACTCCTGCCCACACCTCCCCTCTCTGACCCCAATGGAGCCTGGGCCGCCCTGCATGGCACCTGGCAAGCATGCCCTGCCCTGGGACCCGCCCTGACCCTCCTGGCCGAGCCTAGGCCTGGGGTGCCCACACTCACATCCTGAGTCTCCTTGGGAAGGTGGAGCCCGTTCCTGCGGCCCAGCTTGATGAGCCGCTCCAGGTACCGTGCCGCCTCGGGCCTCAGGGAGTCCTTCTGCACCTTCTCCTATAGCGGCAAATCACAACGGTCATGGGGGAGTCAGGCAGCCAAACTCCAACACTCCTTCCGACCACAGTGGAGCCAGTACAGACAGTGGTGTGGCAGATTCCCAAAAGCCTGATCACACGACCCCTGGGCCCAGGACCCCACGGGCCCAGGCCATCGTCCCAGTGCAGTGACAACCTGTGTCTGCCTGAGCAGCCCCAGCTGGACCCAAGCACCAGGTAGGATCAAGGCTGGCATTCTGGTCACAGGGCTGTGCAACAGCTGCGTACAATGTCACTGCGAGGGGAGCCTGGCAAAGTGTGTAGGGTGCTCTGCATCTTGATTTTCTTTCTTTCTTTTTTTAATGGTACAGGGGATTGAACCCAGGGCCTTTGCACTGAGCTGCATCCCCAGCCCTTTTTAAACTTTGAGATGTCTTGCTAAGTTGCCTAGACTGGGATCAAGCTTGCAATTGTCTTGCCTCAGCCTCCCAGAGTAGGGGGATGACAGGTATGTGCCACGCTGCCTGGTTTCTGGTTTTTGTTTTTTTGGTACCGGGGATCGAACTCAGGTTCTTGCACTTGCGCAGCAGGCGGCGAAACCACTGAGCTAAATCCCCAGCCCTCTGTGTCAACTCTTACAACAGCGTTTAAGATAAAAATGTAATTTAAAAAAAAGACTCCTTTCACAGTGATGCTGCCCCAATCTGTGTACCAAAGCACATGTGGTCTTCCTGACATGGGAGAGGCCCTCCTGGTCTCAGGCCATCGGCCCCCTGGGAAGAAACCTGAACGGGGCCCCACGCACACCTGGGCCCCTGAACTGACAAGGGTGTGGGCAGCTGTCCCTAAGTAACACCGGTGGCAGGGACATGTAGCAGAGCGTGTGTCAAAGGCCACAGGGCCCCTCCCACTGGATCCTTTGTCATTTTCTGTTGCTTTTTGCTTTTTAAGCTGTCATAAAGCAAACAAAATGTAAAATTTACTTAAATTTTTTTTTTGCAATACTAGGGTTGAACCTAGGACACTACCTCTGAGTTACACGTTTCCCCTTTAAATTTTATTCTGAGACAGGATCCTGTGAACTTGCCCAAACTGGCCTTGAGCTAGAGATCTTCCTGGCTCAGTCTCCCAAGCAGTTACGATTACAGGCATGTGCCACCATGCCTGGGGTCCTGCTTTTTAAAACCAAGGGTATGGAGCTCTCCAGCGATGAAGAGGTTTCCACCAGTGGCTGTTTCTGAGTCCCCATCCCCGCCTGCCTTGCTACCTCCTGGCTGTGGAGCCTGCGCCGGGCCGCCGTGTCCCCCCTGCCCTCACCTGCAGCCAGACGATCCTCTGGTACACGTCCTGCCGCATGCTCATCTCCACATCGAACTCGGACAGCTTTTTGTCGGCCTCTGTGCTGGCCGCCCGGATGTCCTTAGATGGGGACACATGCTGGGGGAAGTCAAGGATGTTCCTCTGCACTGAAACGGGACAAAGGACACAGAGTGACGATGGCCCTGGATGGATCTGGCATGAGCCGAGCCTGCCCCCCTGGGCCCTCCCTACAACCCCCTTCTCAGTTCTCTGCACCAGGGCAGGGCTGGGCACTGGGCAGTGACAAAGACCTGCTGCCCATGGCCTCAGGATGTCACAGTCGAAAGGAGATGGACTCGACTCATCACACCCATGCCAAAGCGGACCAGGAGGGAGCTAGCAGGGCAAGTCCAAGAGGCTGGCAAGCTCAATTCTAGAAAGAGTTGTGGCTAGCGACAGCTGGAGGTCAGAGGCACAGACCAAGGCATGACTTCATGTTAGAGAGGCTGGGTGGCCCTGCAGGCCTGAGCCCCAAGAGATCCGCAGACCCCGGGACCCTGATTGCAGGTGCACAGCCAGGAAGGACGACAGAGAGCATCTTGCCAAGACATCCGCACACCTTCACAGCGCCAGGTACACAGCAGCCAAAGCAGGACAGCCCAGTGTTGACAGACAGAGGGACACACACGGCGAGGCCTATCCCCAAGCAGGGACACTAGCCAGGGAAGGAGCATGGCTGTGATGCTCGCCATGGTGTGGACAGACCCTAGGAACGCCGTGCTCAGTGAGTGACACCAGACACAGAGGATACGGTGTGGGCTCCAGGGAAAGGAAATGCCCAGGACAGTGACTCCAGAGAGAGGAAGTGGACTCAGGGGTGCTGGGACTGGGGAGGGGTCAGGGAATGATGCAACAGGACATGGAAATTCTTTCTTTTTTTTGGAAATTCTTTCTGAGAGAATGAAAATGTTCTAAAATGAAGAACATGTGCCACCATGCCTGTGATCCCACCACTTGAGAAGCTGAGGCAGGAAGATCATGGCAAGTTTGAGGCCAGCCTGTCTCAAAAAACAAAAAACCCCAGAACAAAGCATATATATATTATATATACACGTATTTTATATATATACATTCAACTTTGCAAATATACTAAAAGCCACTGAAACGCAGGCCTTAAATGAGTGAATTACATGGTATGCAAATTATATTTTATTGTTGATTTTTGGTACCGGGGATTGAACTCAGGACCTTGTGCTTGTGCAGCACGCACTGGAACCACTGAGCTAAATCCCCGGCCCCGCAAATTATATTTTAATAGAACAATTAAAAGGAAAAAGGCATGGTAACATGCGTCTGTACTCCCAGCTACTTAGGAAGCCGAGGCAGGAGGATCACTTGAGCCTAGGAGTTTGAGACACTATGTAAGACTTCATCTTAAAAAAATAAAAAAGCATACACTTCATGCACCAGAGAGACCTGAATTCAAATCAGCTTGGTACCATGACCCTGGGCCAGGGCATGTGTCCCTGCCCATGTGTTTGAGGGCATGGTGTCCTACTAACCAGTTTGGGGCTCAGGACCTGGCTGATGAGAACCAGAAATGGGCTCTGGCCTCGAGCAACTTCTAGAAAGGCCACTGGTTATAGGAGTGACCGTGATGGCACTCAATGTCACAAGATGGCAGGGCAGGGTGCAGAGAGGACAGGAAGGCCCTAGAGGAGGTGGGCTCCGCCTGCGATCACAGTGAAGCGCCTTGGTCTGCCAGGAGCAGTGTGAGGAGGACTCTGGTCCCCATCCTGGAGATGGGGCCAGGAGGCCCTCGGGCAACAGAGGGTGGTGACCTCGCCTGGGACTCTGCTTAGCATGGAGATGGGAGAAGGTGGCAGAAGACAGGGACAGCCCAGCCCGGTCAGGGAGGGCAGAGCGGGCAGACACCTGGGCCCTGTGAGACACCACAGTGTGGCTAGCAATGGATTCTTCCCCACACAGCCTGGGGATCACATGAACCCCTCAGCTCGGAGTCAGGGAGCCTCTGTGGCCTCCAGAAACGGCTCTCTGCCGGCGCCTTGAGGGGTGGGGCGTGCTGCCAGCAGGTCCCCCCTTCCACACATGTGTACATCTGCTGCCAAGCTCCACCGGGGGCTCGGGGCACAGGATCCTCACCCCTGTGACCAGGCACCCCAGTCCGCACAAGGGCAGCAGAGGGAGCTAAGGACAACAAGATGCCTAGGGACAGGAGGTGATACAGGTACAGGGTGGTGGCCAAGGAGGTAGCCAGGAGGACCAAAAGGACGTCACTAGGACTTGAATGCAGTCTGTGCCCCCGAAAGGCACGCTGACATTTGCCTGCGGACACAGGGGTACCAGAGGGGGCTCTAAGAGGTAATCAGGTTGTAAAAGAGAGTAGTGCCTTTCTCAGCCTCCTTAGGAGCAGCCATTAGGAAACAAGGCCACCTCTTGTGCCTGTCCCTGCACACACCCACCTGTCCTTCCCTCTAGCCCTGACACAGAAGTATGAAGCCCTTGCCAGATCCAGCCCTCATAGTGGTTTCCCAGCCTCAAGGGCTGTGAGCCAAAACAGATGTCTTTTCTTTATAAATGATCCAGCCTTGGGCACTCTGTTACAGCAACTGAAAACAGACCAAAAAGCCAGGCATGCTGGTATACACCTGACGTCCCAGCTACTCAGCAAGCTGAGGCAGGAGGGTGGCTTGAGCCCAGGAGTTGAAGGCCAGTCTGGGCAACATAATGAGAGCTCATCCCAAAGAAAATCCAAACCAAAACACCAAACAGGAAACGAAGGCAGAGCCTGCATTCATTCAGTGGTTCAGACAGAAAACAAATCTCCTCTAGGAGGGGGAGGAGGCTAGAAGGGACTTGGGTTTCAAGTTGGCTCTCAGATGACCATGTGGGGTGTGCTCAGGGTGTGGCCAGCACTCACCTGTGTAGGTCACCTCCACCCCAGCCAGCGCCTTGAGCGTTCTCTCGTAGGACACATCCTCGAACTCCTGCATGCCCACCTGGTCATACACACGCTTCGTCTGCTCGATGAGCTCCTTGGTGAGCTCCTCAATCTGTGGTGCACTCAGGTCCCACCTCAGGTGGTTCACAACGAGGGAGCACGGGGACGCGGCGTCCAGGACATCCCCTGTGCAGGTTGCACACAGAAGGCAAAGGCCACTGCTGACCATGTCTCATCCAATCCATGCGCAGCAGCGATGTGACTGGGGGAGCGCAGGGGCCCAGGAACTCTCCAGGGAAGGCAGTTCTCTCCCCAGCTGCTCGCAGGGACATGGGGCAGTGCATGGGGACAGCTGTGGCTGTCATGACTGGGGAAGGGGCACAGTGGCACGAAGTGAGTAGAGGCCAGGGATGCTGCTCAGCACCCGCAGTACCCAGGACACTCTCCCCAGAGAACAATGTGGCCCTGATGCCCAGCTGCTACTGTCAGGTCCCTGCCCTAGAGACACCTAGCCTGGGTCCTACCCAGGGTCGCCCCGTAAAGGCCCCATACTTACAGAAAGTGGGAGGCCCTGCCAGTGTGGCACTGGCCAACTCCCACAAATCAGGGAGAAGCCCCCCAGGCTCAGTGGAGTTTCTGGAGAGGCCACTTAACACCCAACTGGGGAGCAAGAGGCCCCATTCATTAACAAGTGAATCAGGAAGGGGCGTGACCGTGGGAACCAACAGGTGCAGTAGGAGGTAACTAGCCACCACCACCACCCACCCCCCTGCCAGAAAGGGTGTTAGACTGGCAGGTGGGGGCTCTGCAGGAAGGCCAGAAAAGGGGTTTCCTCCAAGGCTGGGCACAGAGAGGCCAGGAAAACCAGCTGCCAACCCCTGACCCTGCACAGCTTGGTGGCACCTGTACAATGCAGACTCAGAGCCACCAACCTGCTCTGGAAAGGGCCAAGTACATTAACTGCAGGCCATAGTCAGTTTCTTTCCCATCCAAAAATCATTCCTAGCTCCTGGCTCTTACACAAATAGGCAGGCTGGAGTGTGCCCACCCCGGTATAGATCTGAGGGTTTGAACTTTACTCCTGAGTGGCAGGTGAAGTCCTGGAAAGAGGGCTGCCCATTTTCTCAGTACTGGGGATCGATCTCAGGACCCTGCACTTGCTAGGCAGGCGTGGCATCACTGAGCTAAATCTCCGACCCTAGATGTGTACGTTTACAAAACAGACAGCGGGGAGCTGACAGAAGCTAAAGTCAGACTGCCCGGAGGGAACCCTGCCCCACACTGGCTGCTGGACTGGGCAAGACCAGGACTCTCCAAACCCTGGGATTCCCACCTGGACAGTGGGAGCCATGCAGGGTGAGAGGACACAACTGTCTGAGGGCGCCACGGTGGGGAGAGGAACAGGTCTCAAGGGACAGCTGTTGTGACACTGTAATCTCTCATCTAGATGTCCCCAGGTCAGGGATGTCCTGAAAATCAAGATTCCCTGCATTTTAGAAAGGTGATACATACAAAAGCCGCTTATTATGTAACATCTGGGGGCGGGGTAGCAGCACCCTAGAATCGAATTACTTTCTGCAGTGGAATAAGAGGGTGGACACCAGGGTTGCTCAGCCTGGGAACTGAGACACGTGGGGGGCTCCCTGAGTCATGACGACCACAGATTTCCCCACATATTACGATGACTCCCCAAAGGTAGCACGATTACCCCAGCTGAGAGCCACTGATACACTGCTCAGGAAAAAGAAGCTCAACATAAGTCAGACTTTCTAGTGAGGTGATGCTGCTGGGAACTTCAGGCAAATATTCTGTGTGGAGAGCATGTTGGGTTGAAGGATCCTGAAGGGAACTGTGCATCGTATTGAAATCTGTGGTCAAGAGGGGCTTCAGGAAGGTGGGAATGATGGAGCTCATTGGGAGTTGGAATCATCAGAAAGTTCTCTGGGAGGAGCTAGGATTCTTGGACATCCATTGGTCCTGTAAATTATTTACTGACTGTTGCCTCCCTGTTGGTTTCTGAACCAACAATCCAGCAGCAAACAAGGCAAACATTTCCGCCTCCCTGAAGCCTGAATAACCCTAATTATTATTATTATCATTACTACAATTATCATCCTTGTTGCAACTGGCTGAAGAGAGAACTGGGGGGAGGATAGGCGGGCACAAAGAAACTCAAAAATACAGCAAGGAGAGCCCACACACCAACCTGAGCTTCAAAATACAGAACCCAGGGCACAGCACTTCCCTTCCAATATCGCCCCTTTGCCCTTAAGGGTCCCCCAACAACTGTAGTCCCAGCACTCAGGGGGCTGGGGCAGGCTTGCTGTGAGCTGCAGGCCAGCCTGGGCTGCATAGTGAGTTCAAGGCCAGTCTGCACTACACAGAAGTTCCCCGGCCAACTGATCATCACTCTCCCAATGCAATACCTGCATTACTGCTTCCCTGCCTTTGCCCTGCAGTGCACCTAAAGGTCTTGAGAGAAAAACTGCTTCCTCCTAAAATCTAGACTAACGCCACCTTCTCAGAGAAGTCCTCAAGGACCAGCTCTCTAATGAATGGTTCCTGAGGCTGTCCTGTCTGTGTTGATTTGCTCCGCGCCACCAATCCCTATCTAAACTCAATGGTTCATTTACTGCCCTCGCCCCCGGAACTGGGGACTGAACACAGGGCCTTCTCACTGAGCTACATCCCCAGCCCTTTTTATTTATTTTGAGACAGGGTCTTCCCAAGTCGCCCCATCCTGGGCTCAAACTTGACGTTCCTCCTGCCTGAGCCTCCTAGTGCTAGGATTATAGGTGTGCGCCACCACACCCGGCTTTATTTATTTGTTGAACGTCTGCTTCCGGATCCAGAGCTCCAGGAGGGAGGGGGACAGTTTCTGAAATCACTGCCTCCCCCAAAGTCCATTCGAGTGCAGCCCGGAACCCGACCCTTCCGGGATAGAAATCCATGAAGTCTGCTCAAGAGAGAAGCTCTGGAAAAGTTGGTTTATTCACTCGGTAGACGAAGGGGAAGGGTCGCCCACCGTCCTCCCCTAACGCCGGCCAAGGGCCACTCGGCTCGGATATTAGGCCCCAGTAGCTATCCCGGGAGGCGCGCGGGTGCAAGGAACGCCGGGGTCCCGCGAGCCCGACCTCACCGAGGGGCGCCGGTACCTGCTGGGGGCTTCATGGCGGACGGGTCTGCACCGGCGGAACCCTTGCTGCACCTGCTCCACCTCTAGCCGCCTCAGCCGCGGTGGACGCCTCGCTTTGCTCGCTTAGCTCCGACACCACTACCTTCACCCGCGGACTGAGGCGCCCGCCGCCCGCGCGCCCAAGGCATGCTGGGACGGCGCGTGAGCAAAGATGTCTGAGGGCACGCGCGCCGGAGCTCCGCCCACACCTCAAGGAAGAGCCTGGCAAGCCGACGCACTCTGCGCACGCGCTGCAACCCTCCCGGGCCGTTATTGGCTCTCAGAGGTGATTGGGTGGAGCTATGGGCTCCACCCTCAGAGTCTCCAGCAAAATTTGGAATAAGCGTTTCCACTAGAAACCGCACACGCTCTCTGAGCAGCACCACTGCGGTGGGCAAGAACTTGCGCCTTACGAAAGGCGGCAAAAAAGGAGCCAAGCAGAGAGTGGTTGATCCATTTTCTAAAAAAGACTGGTATGACTTGAAGGCCCTGGTTATGTTCAACATAAGAAATATTGGAAAAACACGAGTCACCAGAACTCAAGGAATCAAAATTGCATCTGATGGGCTCAAAGGTCGTGCGTTTGAAGTGAGCCTTGCTGATCTGCAGAACGATGAAGTTGCCTTTAAAAAGTTCAAGCTAATTACTGAAGATGTTCAGGGCAAAAACTGCCTAACTTCCATGGTATGGATCTCACTCGTGACAAAATGTGTTTGTTCCACGCTCAAGAGATGGCAGAGCATGATCGAAGCTCATGTTGACGTCAAGACTACTGATGGTTATTTGCTTCGTTTGTTCTGTGTTGGTTTTACTAAAAAACGGAATAATCAGCACCAACAGGTCTGCCAAATCCGGAAGAAGATGATGGAAATCATGACCCGAGAGGTGCAGACAAATGACTTGAAGGAAAGGGTAAATAAGTTGATTCTAGACAGCATTGGGAAAGACATAGAAAAGGCTTGCCAGTCTATTTATTCTCTTCATGATGTCTTTGTCAGAAAAGTAAAAATGCTGAAGAAGCCCAAGTTTGAATTGGGAAAACTCATGGAGCTTCATGGTGAAGGTAGCAGCTCTGGAAAAGCTACTGGTGATAATACTGGAGCTAAAGTTGAAGGAACTGATGGACATGAACCACCAGCCCAAGAGTCTGTTTAAAATCCAGATTTTTAATAGTGATAAATAAAATCCTATTTGTGGGGGAAAAAAAAAAAAAAAGAAACTGCACACGCCATTAGCCTTCGAGCCTATTTCCTGAAACGACTTGCCCTTGGCTTCAGGGCCCAGTGTTTCCTTGCACTTCCTTCCTTCCTTCTTTCCTTTTGTTTTTTGAGACAGGGTCTTTGCTATGTAGTTCAGACTGGCATCCAGCCCTCGGTGACTTCCTGCCCCTGCCTCCTAAGTGCTGGAATTACAGGCCTGCACCACCATTCACAGCACCTCTTTTTATATAATTGTGTATTGGGCTAGTTGTGCAAGTTTTCTCCCTCATGAGCCTCAAGTTATTGATCGTTTATTGTGTCCAGGTGCTTTTTGTAAATTATTTCCTTCCCAGCATCCTGCCCAGACTAGCATCTAAGGAACAGAGTAGGTATACATCGTATGTCAACTGAATGCTGTTCACCAAATAAATTTAAGAAATTTTTTAAAAACTCCTTCAATAAATGGATGGATAACTTCAAATCACAGGTATTACGGAACCTGACCTATATCCAGTATTGGTTTTTTTTGTTGTTTTTTTTTCGGTACCAAGGATCAAATTCGGGTCCCTCTGCTTGCGAGGAATATCCAGTATTGTTGACCAAAAAAAAGCCAAAGGCAATCAGAAAAAAAATTAACTAGAGTTAAAGAACACCCAAAAGAACACCCCACCTCCTTTATTTCTGCCAAATAAAATAATTCACTGCACTAATTGTCCATGTGTTTTAACTAGGCTAAGGATTAATTGGGAAAGCTGGACATGGTGGCTCACATGTGTAATCTCAACTACTGGGTCGGCTGAGGCAGGAAGATCACAGGTTCAGACCAGCCTGAGCAACTTGGTAAAACTATTATAGACAGCTAAGTTAGATAGAAATTAATATACACCAACACCAAAAATAGAGATATTAGAATTGTGGCTGGAGGCAAATCTGAAAAGAGCCAGGCCTCAAGATGGAGAAGCAATAGCCAGGCTTGCAAGCCTCCCTAAAGATAAAGGACAATTTGAGATTGCACTGTAATTAGCACCACCTGGTCCAGTGGGGCCAGACAGGCATCAGACACATAGGTGGATAACCAGAACATCTGCACCTATGTTCCCCTCCCTTTCCAAGAATCCCTTTGATCTTTCCGTGTACCTTTACTACCCTACTAGCTTCCCTATTGGACTATTAACTCAGTGGCTATACTTGTAGTTTTATAGATTGATGATCGTCTGACCCACGTTGTTGTGCTTTGCTGTATAAATTACACTTGACAAAGGGCCTTGGTGGCCACCCATTTGGGACCCCTCCTGTTTCTCAACTTTGTGTTTTTCCTTTGGTACTGGGGATTGAACTCGGGTCCTTGAGGTTACAAGGCAGGGGGTAGCGCCTCTGAGCTAAATCCCTGGCCCTTCAAATTATTATTTTTTTCGGCTTTTTCTTCTTATTTTTTTCTTTTTTTGTAACCAGGGATCGAACTTGGGACCTTGCGCTAGGCGGCAGAACCAGTGAGTTAAATCCCCTCAGCTTTTTCTTAATAAACCTCTCCTACGCTTAAACTTCTTTGTCCCTTGGAATTCATTCTTAGATATTTCGGGGACGTGAACTTCACACATCTGACATTGCGCAGATCAGGAGTTCATTTTTCCCATGAAAATAGTCTGCCACAAAGTTAAATTTCTTGCTGCTTTATGCGCTGCTTTACTAGATGACAGTCCCTCTACCCCAATACCAAGTAATGAGACTACCTTGCTGCTTTTTTGGCTGATTTGCAATAAATTTTTGTTAAACATTAGCCACCTGCTGTGTATAAAGTTTTACATTTACGGACTGAATGAATGAAACAATGCATTTGGGGGTGAGTGGATGGACGGGTAGGTGAACAAATGAACAAAAATAGTGAGCGGGTAACAGTGGCTCCCATTAATGGAGTGACTGTGACGCTCCGCATCAGGTGTCCAGACTTAGCCAGACCACGTGGCCATCTCCTCACCAAGTGGTCCACTTCGCGGACCAGCTGGAGTCAGCCACTGTCCCACCATGCACCGTTCCATTCCCATTGTAGAGTACAAGTCAGGCCTAATTTCCGGCCTCTATTAGGTCACAGAGGTCAGTTGCCCTAACGACCAATTTGTTCCCGCCTCTAAATAGCGTCACTTCCTCTCACAAAAGGGTCAGTCAAGGAGGCGCATGCGCAGAGTAAAAACAAACAGGAGCAGGCTCTTTCTGCGCAAGCGTTGCGACCGGAGGGCGGAGCGGGAGGCGCCACGGTGCGCAGGCGCAGCCGTCGGTGGGTAGGGGCTCTGTCGCCTGAGAGGTGAGTGGGGGGCTCCGCGCATAGCTTGGTGGGCCTGGGGTCAACGGATCAGAGCTTACGGTTCTCAGGAGTCCGTAAGAGGAGGTAGGTCTAGAGCTGGAGTCTCTACGCCCCGCGAGGTCCTATGAGTGGGCGGTGTGAAAGGGAAACTGAGGCAGGGCGGCGTCTGGCCGGCCAGCGCGGGCCCTGGTCTCCCAGCCCTCGGCCTGGGCTCTACAAATGGTGGTTCGCATGTGGGTGGCAAGGACCACAGGTGGTAAAAGCACCTCGCGCATAGCTGCTGTCTTTCTTTTGAGCTTCCTGGAAACACTTCCTTCTACTCGGGGACCGGGTTTGTCCCGGCTCTTGTCCCAGCGCCGCCTCTCCTGATGACCTAAGCCGGGTTCTTGGCTGCTCGGAGTTTCAGTATGTTTCCCTTTCTGTGAAATGGGTGTTGTCAGACCTTCCCTGGGCACATGAGAGCCACAGCGCCCGGAACAACGTGGGAACCCCAAGGGCTTAGCAATTGGTAGTTTTAGTTCAGATTTAGGGACTTTTGTATGTGGTGTTAGAGGTGGGGGAAAGCGGGGCGAGGACCAGCTCAAATCTGCTTGACAGCTGTGCAGACTGAGCGAGGCACTTCCATTCTCCAAGCACTCCTTTTCTACACCCTAATACAGAAGTTATAAAAGTCTGTGCCTCGAAGGGTGTCTGGGAAGTTAATGCCCCTAACACGTTCGTCTCTGAGGTGCCTGAAGCTTGCTAAGAGTGTGCTAGAGACTGGCTGCTTTTGCTAGGAGGGGCGTGAGAAGATGGTCCGAATCCTGTAGGCTGAGTGGTTTTCCTGTCTTTGTTTCTAAATCTGGTTGTTTGTTTTGTCTGCCTTCTCCCTACACCAGTGGTTCTCAATCAAGGGAAATTTTGTCCCCCAGGGAACACTGGGTGATGCCTGGGGACACCTGTGGTTTTCCTGACTGCGGGTGGTGCAGGCAGAAGCCAGGGATGCTGCTCCATACCCTGCAGTGCCCAGGATGTCCCACCCCAGAGTGGGGCACTATATCTATCATTGGGAAACAAATCCCAAGTCGAGCTCACTTCCTGCTCCTCAGGGACAGCAGAACACACTCCCACTGGGTCAGGCATGTGACCAGGGGACCCAGTTTCTGGCACTGAGCCCTCTGGCCTTACCCACTCCATAAGTGGATGTCACTGTGGGTAGCATCCTAGGACCTCAGCAGGGCAGATGACCATGGGATGCAGCATGGGGTCCCCTGACCCAGAGGGTTGCAACCAGGGATGATTCTGCCCCCAGAGGAGATGGTATTGTCTGGGGACATGTGGAGTTGTCACGAATGGGCAGGGGGTGCCCTTTGCACAGAGCAGGTAGTGGCCAGGGACTCTGCTCAGCACCCTGCAGTGCCCCAACAATCTGGCCTTGTGTGTTAATAATGCTGCTATTAAAAGTCATGGCCTAGACGAGTGATTCTTCACCATTATGGTCACTCTGAGGAGTATGGGGCCTGAAATTGTGTGTCATCGATTTTTGTGGGGTGAGGAGAGAAATATTGGGAGCCAAGTGTGGTGGCGCATGCCTGTCATCTCATCTTTCTAGGAGCTGAGGCAGGAGGATCACAAGTTCCAGCACAGCCTGGGCAACTTACCAACTTACACCCTGTCTCAAAATAAAAAATAAAATAAAAAAGGGCTGGGGATGGAGTGCAGTGCAAAGCTCTGGGTTCCATCCCCAGTGCTGGAGGGTGGCACACTGGAGTTGAGGCTCTGGAGTAAGACTGCCTGGAGCTGAAGCGCCTGCTTGCCCATGGTCTGGTGTTGTCCGTGCAGGATGCCCAAAAGGAAGCGGGCCAGGGGCTCACAGCCCACCTTGGGAGAAGACCTGTGAGGGACCTCCTTAGAAACACCAGGCGCAGCCGGGAACAGGTGTTGGGGCCTGCAGGACCGGAACAACTTCCCCCTCGGAGCCAGGCTGGATTTGGTGGGGCATAGAGGGTTTGGAGTGGAGCCTCCACACCAGGAGCTGACACCCAGGGGTCCAGGGCCTTATGAGCACATCCCTAAGGTGCCAGGGAACAGAGGGCTCTTTTTGGATTTTAATTTTTGCAGCACTAGGGACATAGCCTAGGGCCTTCACCCTAAGCTACATCCCAGGCCTGTTTTAATTTTTTATTTTGAGGTAGAGTCTCCTTAAGTTGCCCAGGCCGGGCTCTAACTTGTGATCAGCCTCCCAGAGTGCTGGGATGACAGGTGTATGTGTCTCCATGCCCAGTAGCAGTGACATCTTGATGGCATTTTAGAACAAATGTGATGTGGGGTGTGCACAGGGGACTCAGAATCCGAGGATCCCAGGGTGCGGGCAGGGAGCAGAGCCTGCCGTGCTGCACCTGCTGTGTGTGAGGGGGCTGTGGGTTAGGATGGAGGGCAGTGGCACATGCGCAGCACCTGGGTCTCATCTCACTGGGGTGCCTGGTGGTGAGACCACCACATTTTAGCAGGTGGCCTGTTTTCCCTAAATGATTGGTCTTGGGTAGCCAGTGGGTGTCATGTTGTGTTTGGGTTTTAGGGCTGGAACAAAAGGGGCTTTGAGGCCCACCCAGGAGGAGCTGGCCCAGGTCCTCGGTCTGCCCACCCTGGCCAGTGACCGCCACCTCCCTACTGTACCCTTTGCCTGGTGGGCACAGCCTGACGGGGGCACTAATAAAGCCCTCGCTGTTCCCAGAGAGGCCGCCTTTGAGAATTTTGTCCCATGGCCAGAACCCTACAAGTCATAATTGTTCCGAGGATAGGGTGCCTGCAGTGGAGGGAGGTCCATGCTCGTGGGGTGCTGGGCCAGGCCTCTGCAGGGAGGAAGCTTGGGAGTCTGAGAAGCCAGGCTCAGAGTCCACTTGGGGGACTGTGTTGTGTCCTCCCCTTGGGGAAAGGAAGGAGGCAGCAGGTTTGGTGCCCCTGTGCTAACCTGGAGTACGCAGATCCCCACTGCTGGCCACAGTCTGGAGACCCGGAACACTCAGCAAATGAAAGATTTTCTCAAAGTTCCCGTTGAAAAGCCACTTGGCCAGACAAGCCTACCGTCCTGACCTAGGAAGGTTTTTGCCTACTTGGTGTCTATCAGCAATTCTCCAACTGGGGACACGTGTGGCTGTCACACTGGGGAAGCGGGTGGAGGCTAGGAATACTGCCCAGCACCTGCAGTGCCTAGGATGCCCCCAGAGCACGCCCAGCCTAGTGTGCACAGCGCCTGGGGGACCCTCTGTCAATTATTTGGAACAAAACTGAGCTCACTCCCCACTCCTAGCAGACAGCAGAACACACCTGAGGGGCAGGCGGTATGACCGGAGACCCTCCTACTCAGTGTGTGGATGTCACTGAGGTCCTAGGACCTCAGCAGGGCAGGTGATCGCCCTTGGGGTCCCCAGGACCCCTTGACCCAGGAGACCTCATCTGTGGTGGCACTGCCCCTGGGGGAAACTGGGTAGAGGCCAAGGTACTGTAGCTGTTGCCACAGAGTGACCTAGCTCCAAGGCAGAGAAGCCCACAAGGACACCCACACAAGAAGAGGAAAGCATATCACCTGGCTGAGGTCAGCTCCCAGGCCTGGGTGGGGTGGTGAGACACAGGGCAGCCTGACTCCAGGCTTCTGGCCCCCCGGGAGTCCCCTGGGCCTTGCTTGAGTCATGAGCCCATCTATCACTCGACTGACCTCTGCAGCCAGGCCGTGTAAGTGACCAGCTGCCATGCTGGAGAGGGCGTCATGGTTCCCCAGAATTGTGGACAAGGCTTCCATCATGGGCCAGGTGGTAAACACCTCAGACTTTGCAGGCTCAGGGTCTCCTTCGCAGCTGCTCATCTCTGCCCCAGCACACAGCCAACGCACCAATAAAACTTTCTCTATAAAAGCAAGTGGTCAGCTGGGGATTTGGCTCAGTGGCACCATGCCTGCCTGGGAAGCACAAGGTCCTGAGTTCAATTCCCACTACTGGAGGGGAAAAAAAAAAAGCAAGTGGTTTCCTCCTTCGCAGAAAACAAGGAAAGAGGGGACACAGCAGGACACCATTGCTGTCCTCTCTGCTGAGCTTGACTGTCACAATGGAGGGAGGGGTTGAAGTGCTGGGAGCAGCGTGTGCAAAGGCCGGGAGCAGCAGGGGAACAGGGGTGGGAGCCGAGGGTGCTCTTAGGTTTTTTGTTGGTGAGGTGTTTGTTTGTAGTACTGAGGATTGTACCTAAGGCCTTCACACTGAGCTGCATCTCCGGCCCTTTTACAGTTTTGGGACAGGGTCTGACTAAGTTGCTCAGGCTGAGCTCCAACTTTTGATCCTCCTGCCTCAGCCTCCCAGAGTGCTGGGATGACAGGTGTGCACCGCCACACCCAGCTCCACTTTCTCCAACCCTGGGTTGATGTGACCCTGGGTAGATGCATGGTTGCATCCTCACAGCTCCGTATGCGGTTGAACAAAAGCTCAGATGTCCTTGTCTTCTTGTGTCAGTGCCACCGGCAGGAAAGTAGGCCCCTCCCCCACTCGGACACACACAAAGCTCAGCATGAGAGGACTGGTCCTGGATCACTGAGGCCCAGCATCAGCTGCGATGGTGTGCTTGCCACCTGTCTGTGCCTGTCACTCCCTCTTGCAAGGGGACCGTGACTCTAGCCTTCTAGGTTTGTGGAAGGACTTGGCCAGGCCCGGCTCCTGTGGCCTGCTGTGGAGCTTTGTTCCAAGTCTGGTGTAGGAAGTCAGGTGTGGCCTGACCTGATCCAGCCTGTTGGTGTAATTGTGTGGGTGTAACCTCTTCAGAGGTTCAGAAACCACTGAGACCTTGCACCGTGGTTTAAACCACAACGTCCAAAAGAGCCATGGTCTAGGATCAGCAGGACGCTGTTACACATGCCTGTGGCCCCTAGGAGGCTGAAGCAGGAGGGTCACAGTGAGTCCACCTTTAGCCTGGACAACTTAGCCACTGCCTGGCTCAAAATAGAAAAATTTTTAAAGGGGGCTGGGATGGAGCTCGGTGGGAAGGCCTGGGGTTCAATCCCCAGTATTGCCCCCCCCCCCAAAAAAAGGTGTGGGTTCACAGATTCTCATGGTAAGGGAGAATCCCAGACCTCATTGGGAAATACTTTTTAATAAAGTTTGGTTGTTATAAAATACGAGCTTGGGCCAGGGATTTTAGCTCAGTGGTTCCACCGCCTGCCTCACAAGTGCAAGGTCCCAAGTTCAATCCCCAGTATCAAAAAATAAATAAATATAAAATATGAGCTTGATTATCTGAACCATTTCTAAGTATGGTTCAAGACCTTTAGCACATTTATATTTTAGTGCAGCTGTCACCACACCCTACTCCTGAACTTTTGCTTTGCTTTGTTTGTTTTGTTTTGGGGGAAGGGTTTGTTTGTGGGTTTTTTTTGTTTTTGTGTTAGTTTTTTTGGTTTTTTTGAGAAAGGGTCTCGCTTGTAGTTCAGGCTTGAAGTCACTATGAAGCTCAGGCTGAATCACACGACTGGAGATCCTCTTGTCTCAGCCTCCCAAGTGCTGGGATTGCTTTGACTTTTGTTTTCATTTTTTGAGATAGGGTCTCAACATATGGTCTAGATTAGCCTTAAACTCACCACATAGCCCAGGCTGGCCATCAAACTCTCAGTCATCTTCCTGCCTCAGTCTCCAGAGTGCTAGGATTACAGATGTGTGCCACCATGCCTGGCTCACCTCCAGAATGTTCACATCTTCCCAAACTGACCCTCTTTCCCCATGAAACACTTAACTCCTGTCCCTCCCCAGGCCCGGGCACTACTGCCTTACTCTCTCTGCGGCTCTGGTAACTCTAGGGACCTCTTGGGAGTAGCATCATGTCTGGTTTCACTCAGCACAGTGTCTTCAAGGTGGTCCCCAGTGCAGCATGTGTCAGAACGCCATTCCTTTTATGCAGATGGATGGGGCTATGTTGTGTTTATTTGTTTGTCTGTTAAAGGACTCTTGGGCTGTTTCCACCTTTAAACTGTTGTGAATAGGGCTGCTGTGAGGACACGTATCTTTAGAACATGCTTCTGTAAATCAAAACTTTTAGCCTTTGGAGTAGGTTTGGCTGGGCTGACCTGACTGGTTCATATTTGAGCCCCTTTAGATGGGGATCCCGTTTCCTGGGTGGACCTCGTGGGCCCTGCTGTATCCCAGGAGATACTGGGACTGGCTGTTTGCTCTCCAGGTTCTGGCCTGTCCTCATCCAAGGTCTCAAAGTTTGAGGGTCCAGAGATGGGGACAGAAACTGACAATGCCCCCAAGGAGCACTTAGGGAGACCGGAGCTTCTCTCTAAAGGAAGCATAGCTCTTTCCAGTTTTTCTCTTTGTAAATGTTGAGATGTAGTTAACATCGTCAAACTGGATGGATTCTAGCACATCCACAAGGTTCTGTGACTGTCCCCTCTCTAGTTCTAGACCACACTATCACCCCAGAAGGAAGCCCCATCCATCCCACCACCCCCTGTACGACGAGTCCACTTCCTGTCTCTGGAGTCACCTGTCCTGGGCATTTCCTGTCCATAGAGGCCACACTGTTTGTTCTATATCTGGCTTCTCCCCCCTTCTCATTTGGTGGTGGTGGTTTAATTTGTTTTGTTTTGTTTGGTACTGGGGATTGAACTCAGGACCTTGCGCTTGGGAGGCAGGCATGGCGCCATTGAGCTAAATCCCCGGCCCTAGTGGTTGTTTTTTTTTTTTGGTACCAGAGATTGAACTCGGGTCCTTGTGCGTGCGCAGCAAGCGGCGAAACCACTGAGCTAAATCCCCGGCCCTAGTGGTTGTTTTTGAGACAGGGTCTTGCTGTGTAGCCCAGACTGGCCTTGAACTCAGGGTGATCCTCCTTCCTCAGCCTCCCAAGTGCTGGGATGACAGGTGTGCACTACCACGCTCTGCGTCCGCCTTCTTTTGGGACGTTTCCCCAACACAGAAATAGCCCCACAGACAAACCCAGCACATCTTGAGCCTGCTGTGTGGTGCCATCAGCACCCTGATGCCCCCATGACCTGGGTCTGTGTGTGGCTGGTTCTTACCACCTTGGGGTTGAGGACTCGCACAGTGGCGCAGGGTCAGGTTAAAGGCAGTATGGTCAGTATGGCAGTAACCCTGCTTCTCATCTTCTGCAGTCACGGGCTGTAAGGCATCTTAGGGGAACAAAACACTTAACAGGTCATCACTCGTGGAGCATGGGGGCAGGACAGCAAGTTCTGGGGTTTGGATCCCAGCCCTGCCTGTCACTTCCTGAGTGACTGTGACACACACCTCCACCCCTAGATGAGGTCTTTTCTTTCTAAACAGTAAATTAAAAGGGGGTGACCAGCTGAGAGTAGTGGCACATGCCTGTCACCCCAGCACTCTGGGAGGCTGAAGCAAGAAGATCACAAGTGCAAGCCCAGCCTAGGCAACTTAGTGACTTAGTGAGACCTTGTCTTAAAAAAAAAAAAAAAAAAAAAATCTGGTAGGCCAGGTGTGGTATGCACCTGTTGTCCCAGAACTTGAGAGGCAGAGGCAGGAGGATTGCTTGACCCCAGAGGTTCAAGCCCATCTTAAACATAGTGAGACCCTGCCTCAGAAGAAAAACATTTCTCTGGGGGCTCCTGCCCTGCCTCCTTGTCCACAGCCACAGGTGTTTTACAAAGTGGGTGTTTGAGGTCGCCCAGCAGCATAGGCGGCACTGAGCACTTGGTGATGCAGCACTTTGCCTCCCGTTGTACCACACAGGCTGCACTCGGCTGGTTGTGTCCAGGTGCGCTGTCCGTGAGTGTGCTAACCTGAGCGTCTCGGGCGCTCAGCGCAGGCCTTTATGCAGAGACAAGGGAGCTTCGTTGCTGCGGCCCTAGCAGTGCATGACCGGTCACCACTCCTTTGTCCCTGAGCCACGTCCTGCCAGGGTAAGCACAGCTTCCGTGTTGACAGCCAGTGTGTCCTTTTGGCGTGACCTTGGGCAGTTTACCAGGACCTCTGCCTGAGTCGGCTCACCTAAAAATAGGATGACTTGGTGCTCCCAGCTGGGGGATGGGGTGACCTGTCCCCGATGGGCCTTGCTTGGCTGGCAAGGGCCACAGGCTGTGGGGCAGAGGAGGCTGGAAGTCTGAGACAAGGCTGGCCCCTCCTGAACCCAAGGGATCTACACCCAGGTCCCCTGCCGGTGAGTCTCAAGGTCCCTGCTTGTCGAAAGGTCACTCCATCTCTGCCTTCATGTGTGCCCCATATTCTTGCCATGTGTGTATCCAGATGTACCCTCCACACGGGCCCAGGCCTTGGCTTCTTTTGAGCCTGATGTTGTATTTGAAGGCCCTGTCTCCAAGTGCAGTCCCATTCTGGGGTCCTGGGGGTTGGGGCTCAGCGTGTGGCGTTCAGGGAACGTGGCTCAGACCTTGGGGCCCTCACCTCTGCTCATGTATGTGCTCGGTGGTGGACCCAGCCTCCAGTGGCATTCATGTGCCATCTCCGTGCTGTTAGAGCGGAGGAGGCTGCAGCCCTGCCCTCTCCGAATTCATGGCATTTTAGTGCCTTTGAGCCTGGGACCAGGCTGGAAGCACAGCTGAGGAACATGTCTAAAGCAGCTGTAGCAGCAGAGGTGGGAGCCTCGGGCCATCCTATCCCGTGGTCCACTGACACTGTTGGTGGCCCGGCCGGCAGGAGCCATCCATTGCCAGTCTACACAGCACCCACACTTCCGACCAGAGTGCCTCGCCTGCTCTGGAAACTCTGGGCCACCTCTCCTGTGCCTTGGCACCCGGGACACAGGTCACAGCCGCACAGGAGGAAGACCCAGAACCCCCAGCCCTGACCTACACCCTCTCCATCCAGCAGGGAACACACAGCTCAGTGGGTGCCAGCACACAGCGCAGGATGTGCTAGAGGGGCAGGCGAAGGACCCATGGCTGAGGATGGCCACAGGGCTTCATCCTCCCCACCAGGTGTCCCTAGCATCATGGGACACCCTGCCTCCACCCAGAGGAGCCATGTCCCCTGCCCTCCTGCTGGAGTAACCACACCTGTCCAGGTACAACCAGCCATGACCTGTGACCTGTGGAGAGGTTCCACGGGCCACGGCCCCCAGACTGGAGTTTCCCAAGAGTCACACAAGGGACTGAGAGCTGGGCTTCAGGCTTTCCAGTTATTTTTTTTCCCTGACTCAAACGGAGCCACAGTGGTATGTCTTAATCCTCTGTCACAGACAGGAAAACTGAGGTTCAGAGACCCAACAGGTCATCCAGCTCCTAGCCTCGTGGGTTTGTGTGTCCCGCTGCTGTGACCTGGGTGACCCACTGCTGTTCTGGCCCCTTCACCTTCAAGGGCTGGGCTGCCCACAGGCGACCACAAGCTGGTGAGCTGAAAATGGCCAGGATGGGTCATGTGTGGTAGTGCATGCCTGTCCTCCTAGTATCTGGGAGGCTGAGGCAGGAGGATCATAAGTTTGAGCCCAGCCTAAGTGACTTAGTGTGACCCTGTCTCAAAATTTTAAAAAGGGCCAGTGCTGCAGGCTCTGGATTCAATCCCCAGTACCACAGAAAAAAGAAAAAACCCAACCCAGTAGAGAGTGAGTCTCCTGGCCAAGAGCCCTGGAGCCTAAAATCAGGGGTGTGTGGGCCACACTTCCTCGAGCCCCCAAAGGAGGTCCTTCCTGCCTCCACCAGCAGGCCCTGGGCACCTCCCTCGGCTTGTAGCTACAACACTCCGTCACCATGTGACCACCTCCCGCACCTGTGTCCACATTCCCCCCTTCTGAGGACACCTCGTGACCACCCTCGTGACTTCCTCTGGAGTTGCCAACATCTAAGGAGACCTTGCTTCTGAAGGGTGGGGGACATGATTTGGGGGACATTGTTCAGTCCCGATCGAGGGGGCCCTGAGTGTTGCCTCTCCTCTTTGGTTTTTGTCACATCAGAAGGTTTTGTGTCATCCCTTGGCCTCCAGGGGGAGATGCTAGCTCAGGCCAGGTTTGCCTGAGGTGGCACAGCTGTATGACAGGCCCCACTCCTGTCCCACCTCCGCTTGCACCTGTCGCCTGTGTGTCCCGCTCAGCACCATGACAGTTGCCATGGCTAGAGTCCCTCCATGCTGGTCTGGGTACCAGGTCACCCATGTGAAGCAAGGCCCTCTCCTGGTCTCACTGTCTGGCACCTCTAGCGCTTTGACAGGGCTTTCAGGGACCATGGACATGAGCTAAGCACCTGCTGACCTCTGGCAGAGGGGTGTGGAGGAGCAAGCCATCCTCAGAGAGCCCCAGGGGTGGCCCCAGAGGGTCCCAGCTAAAGGCAGATGCCCTGTCCATGCTTGCTGCTCACCCAGAAAAGAAGCAGCCAACTACAGTGGCATAGGCTGTCATCCCAGCCCTCAGGGAGGCTGAGGTAGGAGGATCACAAGTTCTAGCCCAGTCTGCGCAACTTAGCAACTTAGCAAGACCCTGCCTCATGATAAAAAGTAAACAGGGCTGACGATGTGGCTTAGTGGGAAGGCCCTGGGTTTAATCTCCAGTACTGCAGAATGAATGAATGAATGAATGAATGAATGAGGAAGGGAGTACTCAGAGGCAAGAGCTTTGGCTGTGAACTAGGTGCCCATGGCGCTCGGGACCAGGTCATTTTCTGTGTGCGTGGACAGATCTGTGGACCTCCAAGCCTGGGGTCCCCATCTTAGACACAGGTGTGCTAAAACTGTGGGGCACTCAGGACTGGCGAGTGGCTGGTGGCTGGAGCTGAGAGGCCGGGCAAAGGGGTCAAAGGGGCTGCCTGTGACTCGGCACCACCCAGCTCTGCACGTGGCCCGACAGATCCGAAATCCCAGGCATCTCCTCCTGCAGCTCAAGATGGACAACAAGAAGCGCCTGGCCTACGCCATCATCCAGTTCCTGCATGACCAGCTGCGGCATGGCGGGCTCTCATCGGATGCCCAGGAGAGCCTGGAAGGTATGCGGCCTGCTGGGCTGGGGATTGTGGAGCGGCCCCGCCGTGGAAGGTGGTGGGAGCAGAGGCTACCCTCTCCTGGGCTCCCAGGCTGGTGGAAGGAGAGGAACTGGCTCAGAGCCCTGTGGGGCACAGAGAAGGGGCGACTAGGGCATCCTGAGGAGGAGGCCACATGGCAGAGGCACCTGTCCTCCCTCACAGTTGCCATTCAATGCCTGGAGACCGCGTTCGGGGTGACGACGGAGGACAGCGACCTGGCGCTCCCCCAGACCCTGCCGGAGATATTTGAAGCAGCTGCTTTAGGCAAGGTGAGCCGGGCCTTCCTCATCCTGGGCCACGCCTGAGGGCCAGGAAGTTGCCTGCAAAGCCCACCTGCGGCCACCCAAGGGTAACAGGCTAAAAGGTGCAGGTTTGGGCGAGGCACAGTGGGTTGTCTTGGTCTGGGCAGGAGGTGCCGCAGGACCTGAGGAGCCCTGAGCGGACCCCACCCTCCGAGGAGGACTCGGCTGAGGCGGAGCGCCTCAAAACCGAAGGTGAGGGGTTGTGGTGGACCAGGCTGTGGGCGGTGGCCCTGGGGATGGAGGTCTGTGGAGCTTGAACGGTGTCCCGGCAAAGCTTGATGAGACTACCGGCAGTGCCCCGTCTGTGCCCACCCAGCCACTAGAAATGGGACCCTCGCTGCCAAGAAAGACTGGGTCGCCTGTGACATTGAGAAATAGTCTGACATTCCTGCCGTATCTGAGGGCACCACATAAACAGGTTCCACACTGGCCAAGTCAACCAGCTGCATGTGAAAAACTCGGGGGAAAATTATATTTATCCTGAACACATAGGTTTTTCCTTGACAAACAAGACAGGGTAACAGCTATTCTACTCCTGTAGTATTGTGTTAGTTGTTAAAAGTTACCTAGAGATGGTTTCCAGCACTCTTGGAGGCTAAGGCAGGAAGATCACAAGTTCCAGCTCAGCCCGGGCAGTTTAGTGACTTAGGGAGACCCTGTCTCAAAATAAAAGGGCTGGGTACATAGTTCTGTGTGAAGGCCCTGGGTTCAGTCCTTAGTGCCACAAAAAAAAGTAGGAGGAAGCGCACAGGTTCTGTGCAAATGCCCTTTGATAGTTTTGTGCAGGGGACTTGAGCTCCTGCGGGTCCTGGTGGGCAGGGGTCCTGGCACACGTCCCTCGGACACCGAGGGCGGACAGTGTAGTCTGGGCCCCCACCAGGCTGTTTCCCAGGGCAAAAACTAGAGGGACACTGGCCCGATCCGCATGTTCAGCCTCCTGTCCCCAGGATGCGCATAGCATTGTGGTTGGTGACTGCCCCCTGGCACAGCTACTCGTGGTGCAGATAGCATGGCACTGGAGAAGCCATGCATGGGTTCCGTGGGTCCCATGTTGCCAGAGCCCCCATGGAAGCGTGGAGTCCCGCCCTGCTCCGTGTGAACAGCTGGGCGCCTGCCCGTCTTTCTCTGCAGGGAATGAGCAGATGAAGGTGGAGAACTTTGAGGCTGCCGTGCACCTCTACGGCAAGGCCATCGAGCTGAACCCTGCCAATGCCGTCTACTTCTGTAACAGGTACGGTGGGGGCGTCAGTGCCACAGGTCGGGTAGTCAGCGTGCATCTCCCGGTGGGGACATCTGGGACACTCGGCAGTGACCTCACAGCCCCGGGGTGCGAGTCCCACACAGGACACACCCCAAGGGGACAATCCAAAACTTGGAGAGCATTGTGGGAGCATGTCGAGAATGGCCTCACCACGGAGGTAGTCTGGCCGCTCTTTTTTCCCTCTTCCTCCGCACGGTGCAGAGGTGACCCCAGGCCCGCACATGTTGGGCTAGTGGTCACCGAAGAGACGCCTGCCCACCGGTTTCATGGCCCAAGGCCATGTGTGGAAAGTAGAGCTGTCTGTCAGAGCTGAAGCCCTGTGAACATGCAGGTGCCACTTTTGGGTTTTGGTTTGGTTTGGTTTTGGGTTTTTTGTTTTGTTTTGTTTTGGTTTTTCCAGTACCAGAGATTGAACTCAGGACCTTGTGCTTGCCAGGCAGACACGGTGCCACTGAGCTAAATCCTCAGCCCAAAGTTGGTTTCTTCCTCCTTTTCTTTCTTTCTTTTTTTCTTTTTGGTATTGGGGTCGAAATCAGGACCTTGTGCTTGTGAGGCAGGCACTACATGGTTTTGGGTTTTGCAACAGAGTCTCACTCTGTAATCCAGGCCAGCCTTGAACTCCCTGTGGCACTCAGGCTGGCTTTAAACTCATGATCCTCCTGCCTCAGCCTCCCAAGTGTTGGGATTTCAAGGTATGCACTACTATCCCTAGCTCCTTTTTATTTTGTTTTGTTGTGTGAGATAGGGTCTCACTATGTAGTTCAGGGTAGACTTGAACTTTATGCAGCTCAGGCTGACTTGAACTCACTGATTTTCCTGCCTCAGCCTCCTGAGTGCTGGGATTACAGGTGTATACCACCATATCTGGCTAGTTTTTTTATTTTGAGGCAGGGTCTTGATAAGTCACTAATGCAGTCCTCCTGCCTCAGCCTCCCAGAGTGCTGGTAACAGGCATGCCTCACCATCCCTGCCTCATGGATTTACTTCTGCCGTTTTGGTTATCTGCTGTAGACCACAGTCTGAAGATGTTAATACTTGTCTGCACTCTATTCAGAGAGAGTATATTCACCGTACCTTTTCATATAACACGTTGCTACAGTTGTGGTATTGCATTATTTTTTTTCCTAGTTGTTAAACTGCATTTGGAGCTTCTGGCACAGTATATTTGTTGTAGTTTTACTACTTGTTGTCATTTCTGAATTTGCCTAGTTCATAAATTAAAGCCTGTCACAGAGGTGCTTACTCAGGGGACCCTTGGTGCCGTGGCTTCAGGCACCCTCTGTGGCCTTAGCACGCATCCCCATGGGTATGGAGGGACCCTGGTGTTTGCTTTCTTTTCTTTTTTTTTTCATTTTTAATTTTTTTTAACATTTTCATATTTTATTGGTACATTTTAGGTGTACAATATAATGATATTCAGCGTTGGAAATTTGCACCTTTCCCCATTCCCCTGCCCTCCCTTCAACCCCTCCATCCCTCCCTATTTACAAAGACTTTGTTTCCATTTTTTCATTTTCTTGTATTAATTCCGTTCCCTTCTTTCCTTTCCCCTACTCCTCCCACTTCCCCTTCCCCTTTGCCCCTTTTCTTCCTATTTCACATTATCTATTACACCTTTTAGTCCTTATTTACACTTTCAGTTTCTCACACTAGAGAAACTATTCGGTATGTATCCATGTGTCCTATTTATTTCACTTAAGAGTATCACCTCAATGTGCATCCATTTAGCTATAAATGTCTCTAATTTTTCATTTTTTATGGCCGAGTAGTACTCCATTTATTAAAAAACCACATTTTCTTTATCCAGCCTTCAGTTGATGGGCAATTGGGCTGCTTCCAAGTTTTAGGTATTACAAATCATGCTGCTATGAACGAGTGCACATATATCACTGTGGTATGCTTCTTTTAATTCTTTGGGGAAGATACCCAGCAGGAGAATAACTGGGTCAAATGGGACTTCCAGTCCTAGTTCTCTGAGGCATCTCCATACTGATTTCCACAGTGATTGCACCAGTTGACACTCCAACCAGCAGTGGAGCAGGGTTCCTCTTTCCGCACATCCCCGCCAGCATTTGTTATTGGTTAATTTCATGATAGCAGCCATTCTTTCTGGGGTGAGGTGGAATCTCAGTGTTGTTTTCATCTGCATCTCTCGAATGACCGGTGATGTTGAACGTGTTTTCATAGGTTTATTTGCTGCTTTTACTTCTTTGTCTGAGAAATGTCTCGTTCGTTTCAGATCCCCATTTTTGGATTGGGTCTTTAAATTTGGGAGGTCTGATTTTCTAAGCTCTTCATATATTCTAGACAGTAGACCTTTGTCTGAGGAACAGCAGGTGAAAATTTTTTCCCACATTGTGAGTTGTCTCTTCACTCTGTTGGTGGTGTACAGAAGCTTGGTGTTTGCTTTCCTGAATGGAAAAGAAAGGATGGAACCAAACATTGTGTGGCCAAGCTGACGACTGAGACTGGGCGACAGTTGGTCTCTTTGTTTTGGCTGCTGTGGGCCATGCTGGGCAGTGGGGGCTCGCTGTGCCTCCCGGTCACCTAGTGAGGGCTGGCTCTCCCATCTGACAGGGAAAGTAAGGTTTGGCTGGGAAGTGGCTGAGCTGGGATTGCACTGGACAGTGTGGCTCCAGGGACCGTGAGCACCGCGTGTGCGTGGGTTGCAGCTGGCTTTGGCCCAGAGAGCCCTCCAGGGGTGGAGCCTCTCTAGGGGTCCCGCCACTCTGGGCCCAGCCCTGCTTCCTGCAGATGGGCCCTGTGCAGGCCACACACTGCCCAGTGGGGCCTTGTCTCTCGCTAACAGCCGGGAACCCAGGACCCCTCCTGCCCTTGTCTTCCCAGAGCGGCGGCCTACAGCAAGCTGGGGAACTACGCAGGCGCCGTGCAGGACTGCGAGCGTGCTATCTGCATCGACCCTACCTACAGCAAGGCCTACGGCCGCATGGGGTGAGTGGGAGCAGGAAGGTTTGTCCTGTGCTCCTCGTCCTGCTTGTCATCAGAGGGGCTGCAGAGCACACCAATGATAGCTGGCCACCCAGGTCCCCTCTGTCCCTGGAGCTGGACAAGCCACCTCAGCTGAGTTCCCGCCCAAGGCTCGGTCCTCTTGTCGCTGGCCTCCTGCTGAGCCACAGGAGTGGCTCAAGTTCTCTCAGCCACAGAGACTCAGGTGTGGCCCGGGGGCTCCTTGGAAACAGCAGGAGACTCTGTCACTAAGTTTGAGGGTTTGGGAGTGCCGTGCCTGGATATGTGCCAAGGCCAGCTCTGTCCTCTCACTCCCTGCCCCTGTGCCTCTGCTTGGGCTGTGGCAGTGCCTGGCGTGGGTTCACGGGCTCAGGTTTCCCTGCCAGCTGAGCCCCCCAGAAGCCGGCTTCGTCTCCATGGAGAAAGTGGTCGTGGTGCGATGATGTCCAAAGGAATAGGGGGTTAGTTGCTGGGTCCCCTTGGGTCCAGGGCCTCAGGAGGGCCAGGCAGAGGTGACCCCACCACCGCGCTGTCGCCCCCAGCCTGGCGCTGTCCAGCCTGAACAAGCATGGGGAGGCTGTGGCCTACTACAAGAAGGCCCTGGAGCTGGACCCCGACAATGAGACCTACAAGTCCAACCTCAAGATAGAAGAGCTGAAGCTCAGAGAGGCACCGAGCCCTGTGAGTCCTTGTGTGGCCGTGGTGGGTGATGCACTGGAGGCCAGGTGGGCACACAGGCTCTGGGGCAGGGGTCCTTGTGGCCAGGTGTGTTAAGACACAGATGTGGGACATGCCTGTCCTCACAGCCCTCTCGGAGGCTGTGACAAGAGGGTCACATGTTCAAGCCCAGCCTGAGCAACTTAGCAACTTGGTGAGACCCTGTCTCAAAATAAAAAAGGGAGGGGTGTGGTGCATTGTGAAGGCCCTGAATTCAGTCCCCGTGTTAGAAATAGAACAAAAAGAAAAGGACCTGCAAACAGTGAAACCACTGGTGAGAGGCAGGAGGGCGGTTCATGCTCGGACCCCTGAGTTGGCACACTCCAGGCGGGGTCCCATGGGCCAGTGATGGGGCATCAGGAGGCAGAGGCAGTGGGCTCTGGACGGCGGTCCTGGTGGCCAGGGCAGGTGGGCGGTGATGTCAGCATGGGAGCCCACAGGGCTAGGGCTGTGTTTGCCCAGCAGCCTGTGTGCACATTGTCACCACGGGCATCGGGCTCTTCCTGCAGGGCCAGCCTGGCCCCAAGATGTGAACATCTGAGTACAGAAACAGAGAGGCATGGCCACCAGCCAGCCACGTGGTCGGAGCACCCTGGCACAGTGCTGGCTCCTGGGTTGATGGGACATCCGAGTGCTTCGGGCCTGCCCTCCCACAGGTCCTGGGCCTGCCTGGCCTGGGCTCCATCTCAGTGTCACTAACCAGTGTTTTTCTCATCTCCAGACGGGCAGTGTGGGCGGCTTCGACATTGCTGGCTTGCTGAACAACCCAAGCTTCATAAACATGGTAAGGACCCCACCATCCCTGCTCCACGGTGTCCGCACCGCAGCCTGCCCACTTGCGAGTATCACTGCCCTGCTGGGCCTCCCCGGCTTGCACCCACCTGTCCTGGCCAAACAATCCCAGACAGTTAAGCCCCAGTCCCCAGCTTAGTTCCTCCTGGCAGTGTGACAGTGACAGACAGGCACTGCCATGGCATCTCCTAGGTCCAGAGATAATGGGGCCACAATCCCAGCCTCCAGGGCCAGCAGCCACTGTGTGCGAGGGACATCGGCCTGCAGCAGCAGCCTCCTCACCACTGTGCTCACAGGGCTGTGCCCTGAACACCTGTCCATTTGCAGGGTGCTGTCCGCCTCTCTGGCATGGAGCCCACAGAGGCTGCCTTGCTGGTGTTACCCGGCATCTCCCTCACCCTGTTATGGGGACCTGGCACCACCCCTTCAGGGGCCTCTCAGCACAGCAGGGAACCTGGTCTCTGATGCCCGCCCTCAGCCATCGGGAACTGTCAGGTCATGACCACCAGTGGGGTTTTTAATGGGATGCAGCCATACCTGCCTGGACACTGTGGTCAGTGGCCACCCTCATCCTGGAGAGGCTGTGCTGAGCAGCTGGGTCACAGAGCCTGCGGCTGGTGGAGCTGGACATACTCTACCCTTTACGAGAACCGCAGGCCACAGGCTCAGAGCATCTTACTGTTGGCTGCTTTAAGTCAGTCCTGTCAGGTGTGGTGGTTTCCACCTTTAATCCCAGTACTCGGGAGGCTGAGGCAGGAGGATTGCTGCAGGTTCGAGGACAGACTAGGCAACATGCACAGACTCTCTCTCAAAAACAAACAGAAAAATGAGTTCTTATGAAATAATCCCAGACGGGAAAGTGAGTGACGCAGAGGCCCAGGACAGCACTGTCCACAGGCAGAGCCAAGCAGAGAGCCCCAGCTGCCTGGAAGTAAACAGTGTTGACAACGAAGGACAGATGTGCACCAGAGAACCCAGGCTTCTAGCAAGAAAAGCGTGTGGGGCTTCGGGTCTGTCTGAAGATCTGACAGGATAGGACAGGAGCCACCAAATTCAGGAACCACAGCTCGTGACCAGAGGGACGCAAAGTGTAGGGCAAGAATTAAAAGGCCAGGCCCACGGTGTAGATGAGGACACTTGATGAGGATGAACAGGTTTCAGTTAGGCAGATGTAGGGGTGCATGTGTGTCATCCCAGCACTTTGGGGGGCTGAGTCAGGAGGATCCCAAGTTCCAGACCAGCCTGGGCAACTTAGACTCTGTCTCAAAATTTTAAAAGGGCTGGTGGTGTAGCTCAGTGGTAGAGCACCCCTGCATTCCCAGTACCACCAGATGGGAAGAAAACTTCAGTTAAAGAGAACGTGTTGGGATAGTGCCTTTGGTGAGAAAGATGTTCTTTTTTTCAGGCATCAAGCTTAATGAACAACCCCCAGCTCCAGCAGCTGTAAGTGACACAGTCCCTTTGTGTCTGCCATGGTTACATTTCTTGGCTAGCAAAAAAGGGCATAGTATTAAAAAAATTTTTTTGAACCATTTTAAAGTACGCAACTTGGTGGCAGTAAGCACATTCGCAATGCAGGCACCCATTTGCCCTGTGTAATTCCAGAACATTCTGCCACCCCAAAAGAAGCCCCATCCGTGCCCATAGCAGTCATTCATCCCCTCCCAGCCTGGCACCTACAAGGCCACTTCCTGTCTCTGGAGTCGCCTGTCCTGGGCATTTCCTGTCCATGGAGCCCACACTGCGTCCTCTGTGTCTGGCGTCTCACTGAGCACGGCATCCTTGGGGTCCCTCCACACGAGGGCAAGTGTCACAGCCTCGCTCTGCTCCGTGGCCCGGTGATGTCCCTGAGTGGGGTGGACTTCACTGTGTCCATTCACCTGTCCGGATATGCGTGGGCTGCTGCTGCTGCTCACAGACTGCTGTGAACTGTGCTGCTGGTGTCTGGGGACACAAGCCCATTGGAACATTTTTGAGTCCCTGTCCTCCTGGGTGCCCACCTGGCAGTGTCATCGCTGGGTCAGGTGCTGACTGGCTGAGGCCCCACTGGCTGCCTTCAGGATCCAGTTGTGAACAGTTTCTGAGCCACAGAGCTGTGGGGCTGTCTTCTGGGTACCACGGTGCTGAGCAGCGTCCTGGCCCGCTCTGTGCCTATCATTCCAGTCTTGGCAATCACAGATGTCACCCAGTGTCCCCTCGGGGCAGAACTCCCTTGTCTGAGACCCGCTATTCTGGGAACACTGACAAAGCCACAGGCCCTGGGGAGGAGGCCACAGACTGTCCCCTCCTGGAATGGCCATCGGCTGAGAGGCGATCCTCCCAGGGCATATCCCCGGGCCGGGTGGGACCGGTGCGCCGGGACTGTGCGACCCCAGCACACATCTTCCTGCAGCATGTCCGGGATGATTTCGGGAAGCCACAACCCCTTGGGGACCCCAGGCACCAGCCCTTCACAGAATGACCTGAGCAGCCTCATCCAGGCGTAAGTGGGGCCACACCCGGGGTAAGGGTGCAGGTGGGTGGGACAAGGACAGTTCAGGACCAGTCCCAGCTGCCCTGGGGACCCAGTCCCTCCACCCTGCTTGGGCACCACCCTGGAGGGCAGAGGATTGAGGGGGCACAGGGGCATGGCCACGAGCCGAGCTGTCCGCAGGGGCCAGCAGTTCGCGCAGCACATGCAGCTGCAGAACCCTGAGTTCATCGAGCAGCTGCGTAGCCAGATACGCAGCCGGACCCCCAGTGCCAGCAACGATGAGCAGCAGGAGTGACAGGCAGGTGAGCCTGGCCAGAGGGACGGGCAGCACAGGGCCTGGGGTTAGAGCGTCATGCTCCCCAGCACAGGCCCTGGCTGAGTGTGCTGCTCTGCATGCACAGCCATGGGGACGAGGTCTCGGGAGGGACAGGGCAGCACTGCCTGCACTTTGTGGGATGTTCCATTGTTTGGTCTCAGAGAGCAGGTGTCACATTGGTGATTTCTTAAACTGTGTCCCAGCTGGCCCTGGTTGGTTTGGGTCTCAGTCCCTGGGGTCTCCAAGTTCAGTGTCTTCCTTTTTTTTTTTTTTTTTGGTACCAGGGATCGAACTCAGGGTCCTTCCGCTTGCATAGCAGGCGGAGAAACCACTGAGCTAAATCCCCGGCCCTTCCTTTTTTTTAAAATTTCCTTATCTTTGGTGCTGGGGCTAGAACCCAGGGCCTTGCACATGCTAAGCAAGGACTCACCACCTAGCCACACCCCAGCCCTCTTCCTTTTAATAAGCTTTTTGTTTTTGCTTTGGTTTTTGAGACAGAGTCTTGCTGTATAGCCCAGGTAGGCCTCCAACTCACAGTGATTTCCTGTCTCAGCCTCCCGAGTCCTAAGATGATAATCATGCACTGCCATGCCTGGCTCAATAAGATTTTATAGAAAAAAAAATACTTGAGCCAGGAGTCAAGCACAATGTCAAGTGCCTTTCATCCCAGCCCCCTGGGAGGCTGAGACAGGAAGATTGCAAGTTTGAGCCCAGACTGGCCAACTTTGTGACTTAGCAAGACTTTGTCTTAAAATAAAAAACGAGAATGCCTGGGGATGGAGCTCAGTGTGAAAGCCCTGGGTTCACTCTCCCATACTGGAAAACAAACACCTTAGTTGCGACCAGTTCTGTATCCATGTCGGCCATGTACATGGGTTTAAAGCTGGTCTCACCCTCCCAATAATGGCCTTGTCCTGTCTGTGCTGTCAGTGACCACAGCCCCGCACAGCCATCAGACATTTGCCCAGAGCATGATGGGACTGTGATGGTAGGGTTTTGGTGGCTGTGTGTTTTGTTTGCAGCACTGGAATGCTGGGCCAGCGCTCACCACGGAGCTGAACCCCTTTAGTTTTCTCCAGTACTGGGGGTTGAATCTAAAGCCTTCAGTTGAGCTACACCCCCAGGGACAGGGTCTCATTGAGCCGCTCAGTTGCACGGGCTGGGCTTACATCTGCCATCCTCCTGCCTCAGCCTCCCAGAGCACTGGATGACAGGTGTACACCACAGCTGTACCTCTCCTATTAGTTTTCATGAACACTGCAGTGCCCCTGCCCATGCAGCCTTGCCGTCCTCCCTCGTGCATGGGCCTCACATTCACTTTCGCCCCTGACTGCCCGTCTCTCTGTCCCCCAGCCGAGCCAGCGCCATCCTGTCCTTCCTGGCTGACCAGAAACCTTTGAGTGTTTTGCCGTTTTCTCTCATTGGACTGCTCAAGAGAGAACCAGAAGATGAAGTCGGGCCTGCATGTTAGGATGGACCCCGCCCCTGCTGCCCCTGCCCAGCCTCCCCTTTGTCCCTCCATGCCCTAGGCCCCTTGTGAGGAAAGAGCCAGCCAGCCCAGTGCCGACCAGCAGCGACCTCTCTCCCGGCTCCAAGAGCCCCGCAGTCACTGAACTCGGCCCCCGTAGTCCCTGCCGCCCCCTCGATCTGTCCTCATGGACTTCGAGAGCCGAGCTGAGCTGAGCTGACCCCTCGGCCTGGGGCGAGCTCACTGCCAGCCCCAGCCTAGGCACCCGCAGCCTGGACTGTGCGTGCCTTGCCGGAGGACCTCGAGCTGCGGCGCCCAACTTGATTCCTGCCTCCTCCTTTGTGGGGTTTTTCTTTTTGGTACCGGGGATCGAACTTGGGACCTTGTGATTGCGAGGCAGGCGCCAGAACCACTGAGCTAAATCCCTGGCCCCGCCTCCTTCATGTAGCCTGGCGCATGGACAGGCTTGCTCCCTCCATCCTCCTGCGGTCCTTGCAGCCAGCGGCTTGGCATGGCCTCTGTCCAGCCTGTGCAGGAGGACGACATCTTGTCCTGCAGGTCAGCCCTGATGCTTCCCGCTCAGCTCTGAGACAGCATGGGAGCTGCTTCTGGGGCAGCAGCTGCTGGGAAGTGTGGCCCTCACAGATGTCCCCACTGCTACTGGCCCAGACGCGGGGTTCTGTGGCAGCAGCGGTGTGCATCATAGGCAGCCAGTAGGAAGCAGGCGGCACGGCCTCCTCAGCCCTCACTGGCAGGACACGGCCAGCCCGTCCCGTCTGCAGGAACTGTGCGGGGAATAAATAGACATGGTGACCTCCTCTTGGCTTGTGTTGGCCTCTGGGTATCATGGACTCCCTTCCCTCCCCACACCCCACACCCTGTCAGCGACCATGGGGACTCCAATGACCAAGTCACCACAGGGCCCCAAGTGAGCCCTTGTGCTGTCAGGGGCCCCGCTCTTGATGGCGGCCCCGTGGTCCCCATCACCCCTGGGTGCTGCATTCAGAGTGGCCCTGGTCAGCTGTGCTCTCCCTTTCCCGTGGTCCAGGGAGCCTCCCTAACAGCAGCGTGGGGTGACAGCAGCTCGCTGGGGCTACCAAGCCTCCCCTGCCAGGCCAGGGTCAGGCAGCTGGGAGGTCGTGCCCCTCCCCTACCCCCGCCACCATGGAGAGCTCCCACTGGTGACAGGAGAGATGGCAAAGTATGGCAGCCAGGGCCTCCTGGCACAGCAGGTGGTAGCCAGGGATGAGACCCAGCACCTGCAGTGCCCAGGACGCCCACAGTGCCCAGGTCAAGAACCCTGGGGAGGATGATGCATTGCACACTGCCAGGCCCTGGGACGTGTGGTGAACATACAGGTTATTAATGGTGCGTGTTTCCAGGACAGGAGGGGTACATTCATGTGGGGCACTGGCGCGCACACAGCGCACCTCAATCCTTTCTCTTCCTTCTCTCCATCTCCCCCATCCTGAATCCCGAAAATGCAGATGCTTGACCTCCTGCATCTTCCCAGGGGCTTTGACTCCCAAGAAGCCTGAGGGCAGCCACCCGGGCTCCTCGCCCGTTATGTCTGTGGCCAGCCTCTTCTCCACCCTGCACCCTAAAGAGCTGACCTGTCACCATCTCATCCCTGAACCGGAGGCTTCTGCTTCTTCAATGGGAAGTTGTCATAGATAATTACTGCTCAGTCCCACACGAGCTGGAAATAGAGTTATTTTTGAACATTCCTGCCAGAATGAAAGACTAATGATTTAACGTGGATTTAGTGTAAGTCGTGACTTGCCTTCCCCAGTGTGGGTTAAACCTTGCAGTTTGAGGCAGCAATTGCTTTCCTTAAGTTAGAGGATTCTGAAGGCTGCTCCCTGCTGCTCTGCAGCCTTGGGGAAGAAGTCCCTAGATTGCAGATGCCACCAGTTTAGTCCATGAAGGATCAAGGAGCAGGTTGTGTCTTTCACAAAACCAACTGGCGGCAATTTTCCTCCCCAGGCACAGTGGTCAATGTCAGGGGACACGTGTGGCTGTAACCCTGGGGGAGTCCTGGCATGGAGCAGGTGGAGGCCAGGGACGCTGCCCAGCACCTGCAGTGCCCAAGATGCCCACCTCAGAATATGATCGCCAGCTCCTGATCTGTCACCAGCACAGATAAATGTGCCAAGCAAATAGATGTCCCAACCCATTTGTATACAGGGAAATAGTACATGCCAAAATGGGCAAAATGGGCAACATCGGCCAGCCTGGACCACATAGACACTCCCTCAAAAAATTGTCCTTTAACTCTTTTCCCCTTAAACATCCCTTCTATCGTTTCCATTTGGGGGAGATGTCTCATGAGTAGAAATTATTTCTATGGGCTCACAGTATAAAAAAATACTGCATTTCAGTCTCTCCTGCAGATAAATTTCAACATCATATATAGATTTTTTTGAAATGTTAGGGGTTGGATCAGAGTCTTGCATATGCTACACAGGCACTCTACCACTAAGCTCCACTCCCAGCCTTTTTATTTTTTGTTTTGAGACAGGGTGTCTCTGTGTTGTCCAGGATGGTCTTCCACTTGGAATCCTCCTGCCTCAGCCTCCTGAGTTGCTGAGATGGCACAGCTTGTACACAGATTCTTTGCCCTCCATTAGCATGGGCTGCATGTAGTGGCATTTTCCAAGAGGACAGACTAGAAATGGGGAGAACAGAGGACTTCACCATGAATGACCTGAGAAGCACTGCACAGGCAGGTGGTCAACAGTGCTGCGTCACATTGACAGCATGGATTGTGGCCACAGTGTCAGGACCAGGGCATTGCAACCCCATGGTCCTCAGCAGCATAACTCCAAAGCTAGGCATGATGGCGCACACCTGTCATCCCAACACTCTGGGAGGCTGAGGCAGGAGGATCAAAAGTTGAAGCCCACCCTGGGCAAGTTAGCAACTTATCGAGACCCTGTCTCAAAATGAAAAAAGGGCTGGGAGTGGAGCTCAGTGTGGTGGCCCTGGGTACCATCCCCGGTAGTGCAAAAAAACAAAAGAAAAAATACAATACAATTGGTAGCAAAATAGAAGAAAATTCCCAACAGAGGAGCATTTCCTAAAATATAGACCAGTATTCTTTAAAACTGTCCAGGTCAAGTCAGGCATGATGGTGCAGGCCTGTGATCCCAGCACTCAGGAGGCTGAAGCAGGAGGATCGCTGTGAGTTTGAGGTCAGCCTGGGCTATGTAGTGAGTTCAATGCTAGCCTGCACTACAAAGTGAGACCCTGTCTCTAAACACCAAGCCAAAACAAGAACCCTGCCGCAGTCATCAAACAAAGGACACCTGAGAAGTTCTCACAGCCCAGAGAAGCACAAGCAGACACGATAGGGAAGTGGCTTCCCCAGATGCTGGACAGAGTCTTGGGCAGAAAGGGACATTAGTAGTAGCCAAGCATGGTGGTGTACACCTGTAATCCCAGCTACTCCAGAAGCTAAGGCAGGACAATTGTAAGTTCCAGGATAGACTGAGCAATTTAGTGAAGCCCAGACTCAAAATAAAATTTGCAAATGGGCCGGAGATGTAGCTCAGCATTTCCTGGGTTCAATCCCCAGTACTGAAAAGAAAAAATATTAGGGAAAACTAAGAGATTATGAATAATTTTGATCTCTGTTAACAATGTATCATTATTGTTTAATAATATGACAAGTAAAAGGTAAATAAGGGCTGGAGATTTATTTCAGGGGTGCTGCATCTGCGTCACAAGTGCAAGGTCCTGAGTTTGATCGCCAGTGCCAAAAAAAAAAAAGAAAAAAACAGGGGCCAGGGATTTAGCTCAGTGGTTTCACCACCTGTTGTGCAAGCACAAGGACCTGAGTTTGATCCCCGGTACCAAAAAAAACAACAACAAAAAAACCCCAGATAAATACATGATGTCACATGGATGTGAAATGTTAATAAAAGGGAAACCGGTGGACAGTGTGTAAACTCAACTTTCTTTGCAATTTTTCTATAAATAGGGGGTTTTTTTTGAGGGGGTTATCAGGAATCAGGCTCAGGACCTTGCACTTCCAGCAAGGCGTGGCATCACTGAACTAAATCCCCACCCTAGATTTTTTGGTTTTTTTGAGAGAGAGGATCTTGCTATGCAGTTCAGGCTGACCTTGAACTCACTGTGTAACCCAGGCTGGCCTCGAACTCAAGGTGATTCTCCTGCCTAACCCTTCCAAGTGTTGGGATTTTAGGCATGCACCATCACCATAACTGGCTGTAAATAATTATTCTAAAATAATGTTTTAAAAAAATATTGTACTTCTTTTTTTAACTTTAAAAAAATTATTCTTTTGCAGTCTGTAGATGGAATCCAAGCCTTGCACATGCTAGGCAAGCTCTCTGCCTTGGTACACCTCCAGGCTGTTTTTAAATTTTTACCTGGAGACAGCATCCAAGTGATGCACCTGCCTCCACCTCCTGAATAGCTGGCATTAAAATGTGTGCCACTTGGCCTGGGGATTTAGCTTAGTGGTTCTGTCTACTGCCTCACAAGCACAAGGTCCCGAGTTCAATCCCCAGTACCAAAATAAATAAATAAAATGTGTGCCACTGTACCTGGATGTAAAACAGAATTTTTAAACCAGGATTTATTCCAAGATCGCCTATTGGATTTAGTTATATCTATTTTTTTTCTCTTTTTTTTTTCCAGCTAAAACCCCGGCCCTTTCAACATTTTTTCTTTTCTTTCTTTCTTTCTTTCTCTTTTTTTTGTACCGGGGATCGAACTCAGGACCTAGCGCTTGCGAGACAGGCGGTGCAACTACTGAGCTAAATCCCCGGCCCCATTTTTTCATTTTGAAACAGGGTCTTGCTAAGTGACTAAGTTTCCCAGGCTGGGCTTGAACTTGGAATCCTCCTAGTGTGCACCACCGCGCCCAGCGTGTATTTTATTTCTTAAGCTGCCGAGAAGGGCACCAGCAGCGAAGATGCTTCCACAGAAACCTTCCCGGGAGTAAATCGCTTCTTGCCAAACCTCCAGCCGAGCAAGATTCAGCACCAGAGGCTCATGGACAGTTCTGGAACCCAAATTCTTTCGGAACCAATTCTCGATGGTTCAACTTTCCCACCCGGACCGCATAGTGGCTGCGCCCTGGGCTCGGCGGGAGGAAACTACTCTCCCGTACCAGTGGGAGAAGTGGAGGGGTAGGATGAGTGGCAGCCTCATCAGCCAATAACACGTAACTTTCAGCCACGGGCGCTCGGGGAGACCAATAGGTGTTGTTATGGGCTGGACGTGGACATCGGCGCGCTGAGCCGGGAGCTCGCTTAGACCGCGGAGATCGGTTGGCAAACCTGCAGCTGTTGGCGGCGGGCGGAGCTGGCTGGCGGGGCGAGAGGGCCAGGGCAGGTACCTGCAGGGAGAAGGGTGGGGTCTTGGGCTGCGGGGCAGGGCTGGGAGGCCTGGGGGACTCCGCCCGTTAGCCAAGGCCCCGCTGCGTTGTACGGCTGCGCGGGCACACAGTAGGCGCTCACTAAGTGCTGAAAGAATGGCCCAGTCCCCTCCGCGGTCCAGCCCGATCGGCCCCCAGTTTGAGAGCGTTCAGGCCGCCCTCACGTACTCCGTGGCCTAGGGCAGCCAGACAACACAGGCAGGTATTTATGGGGCGCCTACTGTGTGCCTTTGCGGTTTTGCGGGGTGCACACTGTGGAGGGAGGGGCGAGTATGAACGCTTTTAAATAATATGGTTCCCTCTATTGCACAAAATAGAAGCCAGTACTGGCAGGAAAGGGGACAGGAGGGCCCTGTGAACCCCATCATCTAAACAGATGCCTATTAACATGAATGAAGGAAAGGGGCAGGTCGAGAGAAGAGCCGGGGTGGGGCTTGGCCGGCCGAGAGAAAGAGCCTACTCGGGGGAAACACAAAGATGGAGGACCTGAGGTTCCTTCTAATATTTCCACATTTGGGGGTCCAGAGTGAAAACTCTACTTTGGTCCATCGAGCCCCATGCAGAGGCCCACACACTCCGCTGGTTCACCTCGTGGCCACTGGGTATCTGGTTTGCACCAGGCCTTGTGGGTTCAGGAGATACAGTTTGGGGAAGGGGTAGGTGGGGACACTGAACCTAAATGAGAACACATCCTTGGAAGGAAGGTTGGGGTAGAAGGGTGTTACAGGCTGAAAGAACAACCCATGCAAAGGCCCTGAGCCAGGAAGGAGTTTGGCACATTTGAAGAACACTGATATGGGCTGAGGAGAGGGGAAACCGGTCATGCAAAGCCTCAGCTCAGTGTAAAGAGTTTGCAGTCTGTATCAGGGCAGTGGAAAACCCCAAGCCATGCCCCCAAGTAATTTCACCACAAAGGAAGCGATTCCTGTCTCTGCAGCCTAAGGTAGAAGCCACCAGGTGCCAGTGGCTACTAAGCACTTGTAATGCAACCAAGCAGAATTTTAAACTGTTCGATTGTAATTGATGTAGAGACAAATGTGGTCATTAGCTGCTGTATTGGATGCTGCAGCCCCTGGAGGGTTTTTTTCCTGAGGGAGGCGGAGATAGGCACAAGCCGTGGAGTCGACCAGAGTACTTGGTATGACACACCGAGTTCCCAGAGGTGTTTAGATGACCCCACAGCTAATATGGTTGCCCCCAGGTGTTCACAGTTGCTGGGCAGAGCATGAACTTCCTGCTTCGTGATCGGCTCGGTAGTGGTCTGTGGGACTGACCTATGTGTCCATGCACGATTTGGACCCCCGGTGACTGGCACAATCCAGCCTGCCACCATGGTGAAGCTGCTGGTGGCCAAAATCCTCTGCATGGTGGGTGTGTTTTTCTTCATGCTGCTGGGCTCCCTGCTCCCGGTGAAGGTCATCGAGACAGACTTTGAGAAAGCCCATCACTCCAAAAAGATCCTTTCCCTCTGCAACACCTTCGGTGGTGGGGTCTTTCTGGCCACCTGCTTCAACGCGCTGCTGCCCGCTGTGCGGGAGAAGGTAAGGCCTCCCTGGGTGGTGGCTGCAGCCCTGGGCACCTTAGCCCAGGGGTCTCTGATGGTTTTTCAACACTGTTACCAAGTCCAGTGAGGGGCTCAATGTTGTCAGGGTGAGGGAAAGGAGAAAATGAACTGCTGTGTGACCTTATGTTGGTGGCCACCCCTCTCTGTACCTTACCTGGTTAACAGCAGGTTTGGACTAGACCTGGGTAGGACTAGATGGATGAGCCCAATAGGGCTAAACATCCAGACCAGTCCCCGTACTCCAACTATCACACTTTGTCCCAAATTAAGTGAGGCCACTCTTTGCCTCCTGGGTCTGTCAGCTACTGCTGCATAACAAGTCACAACAACTTGGCTGTGCCTGCTAGGTGACCTCTGCCGAGCCTGGGCCAGTGCAGGTTGGGCTTGGTTCACCACCCTGCGGGAAGGGCGGGACTTCCAGTGCAGCCCAAATTCCCCAGCCCCTGCCCAGGCCCCATGGCGCCTAATGTCCCTCTCTCTGGGGAGGTGGCACCTGTGTTCACCATGTGCCTTTCACAGGTGGCCTGTTGCTGGGACCCCAGCACACGTGCTCTCCAGGGCCCTTGTCTGGCCTATGTCCATTGCTAGGGAGCCGGCCCTGACTGAGAGGAGGACAAGGCTCAGGCATGCATCCGGGTGACAGCTTACAAAACACAACACCTCTGTCAGGTCAGAGAGGCAGGGCAGCATGCTGCTTGGGGCCAGCAGGAAGGGGTCCCTCTGGGTACAGCTCCCAAAGCCATGTGTGGGTAGCAAGAGGGGAAGGGGGACCTGTGAGCCACAGCCTTCATGGGTATCACCCAGGCAGGCATTCCAGGGGATCCTTTTTAGGTTTTGTTTGAGACAGTCTTATGTACCCAAGCTGGTCTCATACTTGCATACTCAGCTGCCAAGTGCTAAGACCAAAAGCTTTAAAGCAAGCAGTGTTCCTCCTATGGGTGTCCTGAGACAGGTGGGATCACCATGCGGGGTGTGGTCAGTGGGCAAGTCCAACTGGCTGTGTACAGCATCCACAGCGAGGAGCCCTCAGGAACGGCTGTGCAGGGCAGAGATCTGTCAGGTCCCGTGGAAGAGCCAGGCAATGGGAGCTGGAACTTGTTGGGTGACCAAGCCCTGCTGGCTGAGAAAATTAAACCTATGTTTTGAGGAGCTGCTGTGGCAACCTGAAATTCTAGGAATTCACTGCTGGGAAATTTCATGTAAACTGAGACTCCACCAGCCATGACCAGGCTGGGGCAGGAACATCCCTGACAGTGTGGGCAGCATGTGCAAAGGCCCTGGGGTTGCAGAGAGCCTGGCGTGCTTACATCTGGATGAGGCCAGGGAGGGCACATGGACCCCACAGCCACCCGCCTTATCTAGCTCTTCAAGTTTCAATGACTTATGAGACAGGAGGATCCCAAGTTCAAGGCCAGGTGTGACTACATAGTGGGAATCTATCTCAGAAAACCAGAAAGGTGTCCAAATTAGAGTTAAATAACATCCAGCATCCTGATCTTTGTCTATACCACATTTGCAGTTCATGGTCCAACATGGCGAGAGAGCAGCGTCTCCCTCTAGAAAGTTCTGTGGGGTGGCTCCAGCTCGACAGACCCACAGGGTGAACCTCATATTCATGCCTGCCTGGGTCAGAATGGGGGGAGAAGAGCCCTCCTGGTCACTTGGGAGCTGAAATCAATGGCCCCTCTGTGGTGGCCTCCTGGGCTGCAGATTGCCTCTTACCGCCTTGCCTCTTGGTGGCTCCTTGTGAGGGACCCATGGTGTCTCCTCTTTGAAGGGCCCTGTGCTGTGGGTTAGGGCCCACTGCGTGGCCTCATGCTAAAATTTGTCACCTCTTTAATGACCCTGTGGGCAGATATATTGATTTATTTATTGAGGATGGAAACCAGAGCCTTTGCACTGACCTATGTCCCCAGCCCCCGTACCTTTTATTGAGACAGGATCTCACTAAGTCACTTAAGTTGCCCAGGCTGAGCTCAAACTTGTGATCCTCCTGCCTCAGCCTCCCAGAGTGCTGGGATGACAGGGATGCAACACCACGCCTAGCCCTCCTAGGTTTTGTCGTCCGGTGCACATGGGATATTTCTGGGCTTTGCGAATTGAGCAGCTGTGTCCTACTGCCACCTCTGACGGCCCCTGTCCCCATGCCAGCTTCAGCGCGTACTGAGCCTCGGGCACCTGAGCACCGACTACCCGCTGGCAGAGACCCTGCTGCTGCTGGGCTTCTTCGTGACCGTGTTCCTAGAGCAGCTGGTGCTCACATTCCGGAAGGAGAAGCCGTCTTTCATCGACCTGGAGACCTTCAACGCGGGCTCGGACGCGGGCAGTGACTCGGAGTACGAGAGCCCTTTCGCAGGGGGCGCTCGTGGCCACGTGCTCTACGCCGAGGGCCACGCGCATGCGCACGGTGCGGGCCTGAGCGTGCAGGAGCTGTCGCGCTCGGGGCCGCTGCGCCTGCTCAGCCTGGTCTTTGCGCTGTCGGCGCACTCCATCTTTGAGGGCCTGGCGCTGGGCCTGCAGGAGGAGGGCGAGAAGGTGGTGAGCCTCTTCGTGGGCGTGGCCATCCACGAGACGCTGGTGGCAGTGGCCCTGGGCATCAGCATGGCCCGCAGCGCCATGCGCCTACGCGACGCAGCCAAACTGGCGGTCACCGTGAGCGTCATGATCCCGCTGGGCATCGGCATTGGCCTGGGCATCGAGAGTGCCCGCGGCATTCCCAGCAGCGTGGCCTCCGTGCTGCTGCAGGGCCTGGCGGGTGGCACCTTCCTCTTTATCACCTTCCTGGAGATCCTGGCCAAGGAGCTGGAGGACAAGAATGACCGGCTGCTCAAGGTCCTCTTCCTGGTGCTGGGCTACGCTGTGCTGGCCGGCATGGTCTTCCTCAAGTGGTGAGTCGCCTCCTCCTCCTGGTCCTCCACGCTGTGACTGCCCTGAGCCCCTGGCCGCACAAAGCCCACAGCCCACGCCCCACGCCCCACCTCCCTGGAGAGGGAGTGCGAGGCTGTGGCCTCCCCACACCAGGCTAGGCCCCCATCCTGGATCCCACATGTCTATCCACTAATACAACTTTAAAAACACTCTAAAGGACTTGCCAGAGCGTGTGGACATGTCAACCTTGGGCAGGGCAGGGAGGTGGGGCCTGGTCAGCATGTCCAGGCCAGGTCAGCCCTAGGCTTGCCCTGCCACACTCCAGCCAAGGACGCTGGACGAGCGGCTGCAAGGCTCTGGCCAGGCACGGGCACTGACCCACCCCTTGCATGAGCACACACACTGTAACCCTCCCAGGGCCAAAAGCCCATGGGGCAGGGAGCGAGTTGTGTCCTAGCAACCCCTCCCAGCCTGACCTATCACCCTGGAAACCTGTGCCTGCATCTGGGGACCTGGAGTTCCGAGAGCAGCTTTGCTTTGGGGAATTTGCCTAGTGGGAAGGAGCAGGCTTCTGAGCCTGAGCCCCATCTCTGGGCCTTGGTCACATGCTGGATGCCAGAGCCTCCCAGGTGGCCCCACAGAGCCCACTGCCCTGTAGTCCCCAGACCCAGACCGTGCTCTCTGTGCCCAAATTATTCCTGTGCCTGATGCTCAGCTACCGCCCACATCCCCGTGCTGTGCCCTCTGTGGGACAGACAGGTTCCCCAACCAGGAGAGGTCCTCGTTTCTCCCAGGGGGTCCCTGTCCCTCGTCACTCGCCAAGCACCCTGAGGGTGCCACTGCCTGGCCAGCCACCAGGACTCCAGCAGGAGAACTGACCTTGGGGACGTCTGTGGCCTGAATGTCACGGCGAGGAATCACCTTAACCCCTGTAGATCAGCCAGGGTTCAGACCCCACCTCTGGGGCCCAGCGCATGTGTCAGGGACCCCAGTCCTCTGGCAAGGCCTCCCCTTGGTGCTGTTGGAAGTCAGGCCCTTTTCTAGCAACTTCTGGCTGTGCCTTTGTGAGCCCGGTGTAGTCTGACCTTGCCATGGCCCGGGAAGTGGCCCTGTGGCTAAGACATCTCCGCTGTGTCCTGCACTGTTTCCTGCCCCGTCACCAGGCGCTGTCCGCCCTTGCTTTTGCCACCAGAGGGTGGGTGTCATGGAGATGCCAGAGCTTCTTGGGGAGGACCCAGGCTCTGCATGAGTGTGAGACATGGCCAGGTGACATGACTGGGCCAGGACAGGAAAGCTCAGGTGCCCCTGATACAGCAGAGAATGGTCCCAGCTCTGGTGGCCCCAGCTCTGTCCCTCCCCCTGTCACCACCAAAGTGCACAGTAGGGTACCCTCCTCCACACATCAGCTCCCTGGCATGGCCCTGGGGACACCAGCAAGCCTGTCGAGCTGTCCCCAGGCCTCTTCCTTGCCTCCCCCAGAGGAGCCTCCGAGATCATGCCCTCAGCTGGAGCTCACCCCAGGGTCCTCAGCACCACCAGGGACCCCTCATCCCAGGGCATCCCTGCTGCTGCCACACCTCAGCTCATCTGGCTGTGGCCATTCCTGCTGCCCTTCGCCCCTAGAGATCCTCATCCCTTCCAGCCCCCGAAGTTCATCCAGGCCTCATCAGGATTTGGGGGAGGCAGGGGCTGTGGTCACGGGGCCAGCCTGCTCTCCTGCCACCCCTCCTGTCTCCTGTGGTAAGAGAGGCATCGTCAGCACAGGTCCTGGCCTCCTGGAGCCACAGGGGGACAGGAAGATGTGACCCAACCCAAGCAGTGAGCTACATGGTGTTTCTTGGGCCCAACTTGGTGGCTGTCCCCACTTTTCAAAAGGTAGTGGAGGTGTCTCCACTGGGGTCCCAGGAAGTAGCACAGCTCTCTCCGAGACACCCGGATGTGGCCCGGACCCAGGCCTCTCCTGGCTCCAGCCCTGCGTGTGGGTCCTGACCACTGCCACACGGTAATACGAGCTTCCGCCTGAGTGAGACAGGAGTCGCCACCACCCTGGGACACCCTGAGCTCCACAGAACTGCTGGCCAGAGTCCGCCACCACAGGTGACAGGCTTCAACCCCTGTGCTGCTGGGACACCAAGAACTGCCCCCGGCTGTGGAGGCTGGCAGTCCTCCTTGGGGTCCATACTGACTGGCGTTCTCAGTTGAGGTGATTCTGGCCCAGGGGACACTGGGTGCTGTCTGGGGACACGTGTGGCTAGAGGCCAGCGATGCTATTCAGCACCCCGGGACACCCACCCCAGCCTGCCCCTCCTGGGAGACTTCAACACAGACAGCGGCATCAGGCACCAGGTGGAATCACCTTGCTCTCCCCCGCCTGGAGCAGAGGGAAGAGGAAGGGGCGGCCCCGGGCCTGCCGATGGAGTCACCATAATAATAGCATGTCGAGCCTGTGTTCTCCCTTGTTTGTGTTCCTGCCCTGCGGGTGGGCGGGATGGGGAGAGCTGAGTTCCAGGGCCCAGACATGCCGCTGGGGACAGGCGAGACCGTGCCCTGCGCATCCCGCCCTTGTCCCACCTGGCCCAGTGTCCACCCTTGCTGGTCAGGGGCACCGAGTCATGTTAGGGCTTCAGAAAAAGCCAGGGACCTGCCCGTCATACCTGAAGATGCCCTGTGGCCCTCTCTGTGTGCCCCAGTAACAGGTGGGGCTCTAGCTCCCGGGGGTAGAGGAAGGTCCTCACCTTAAAAGATGTCACTGGGGGGTGTGGGGACTTCCCTGTGAAACCTGAACATGGCTCCTGGGTGCAGTGGTGCAGCCAGGTTAGAGCAGGCAAGGAGACCCCTTTGCAGGGGCTATGACACTGCTGACCTCGGCCAAGGGCCAGCATAATCACTAGGCCCTGTATTTCTTAGTTTTTATTTTTTTGTTTTCATTTTTGTTGTACTGGGGATTGAACCCTGGGCTTCACATTGAACTCCATCCCCAGCCCCTATATTACTTTTTATTTTGAGACAAGGTCTCACTAAGTCACCCAGGCTGGGCTCCAACTTATGATCCTCCTGCCTCAGCCTCCCAGAGTGCTGGGATGACAACGGTGCACCACCACACTCAGCTAACTGTGCCCTGTCACGGGGCGAACAGGGCTGGAGGAGGGACAGCTTGGAGCCCCTGCTTCCGGAGCACTGCCCAGAGAGCGTCATGAGCAGCCCCCACTCTGTCCATTTCTCCCCAGGGTGCCCAGGGACTCAGAGGCTTCTGTCTCCGTGTGTAGACCCTGCCGGACTCAGGCAGTGAGGTGGCCCTCGAACAGGGACTGCCCGCCTCAGCACTGCTCAAGTGTCCTGAGCACTCCACGTGCTGAGCAGTGCCCCTGCCCTCCACCCACTCCATGCGAGGACCTTGCCCCGCATCCCTGGGGGCCTGGTGGGACCCCTGGCCCAGAACTAAGGCAGCTCGTGTTACAACAAGGAAGACCAGTAACATCAGCACACAGCACATCATCAGGTAGCAGTGGGTGCCAAGCAGGAGGAGGGCATTTTACCCTGGGCCCAGGAAGTGGTTCAGAGGAGGTGACATTGGAGAGGCACTGGAGGAAGAGTGTCTCAGGCAAAGACCCTGGGGCCGCAGTTTCCTGATGACCAAGGCAGCCTGGGCTCTGTAAAGAGATGCGAGTGTTGGGGTTGGAGGTTCATCCACCAGCGATAAAAGCCTGAGGACCCCACTCCTCCAAGATGGCACTGTAACAGCCTCCCATATGCTAGGGGAGCCCAGGTTGCCTCTAGGGGCCCAGCCAGTGCTGCAGTGAGGTATGTCATCCAGTGCTGCTCCTGCAGACGGATGCTGACGGTGATACTTCGTAGATGCCAGCCTGTGCTTCTGGAAGCAAACTGGCTTTTGACAAATGATCTCCTTGTTTTAAAATATCGATGCCGTGGACCAGGGGATGTAACAATGTGGTGAGTGCTTGCCTAAAATGTGCAGTGTTCTGGGTTCAATCCCCAGCTTGACAAAAAAGAAAAAAGAAAACTAATAATACTAAGTTGTACAAATAAAGTAAAATATTGATGGCAGTTTTAAAAACATGATGCCTGCATGACCACAGCAGGGCACTGGGGTGTGGAGAGGACAAGGACATGCCAGATGACCATCCCTCACACTTCAGTGGCGGGAGGACAGAGTCCACCAGAAGTCCCCGGATCAGGCCTCCAGGCAGCCACAGATGAGAAGGAGGGCCGCAAGGAGCTGAGTTCTAGTCCCGTGGCCTCTTCCTTGCTGGACCACCTTGAAAAAGTCACTTCTCTGAGCCTTGGTTTCCAGATGTGGGCAGGACAGTTGCCAGGCACAGCTTAGTGCCAGCCAGGGTGCCACTTTTGTCTGGATGTCCTGCAGGCTCGGGGTGGGGGAGGTGGAAGGACTACAGCTGGGCCACTGGGGGCCCCTCTTCCTGCCAGGGAAGCAGCCGGTTCTGAGTCTTCCCTCAGCCACCTCTGCCTTTCAGAGGCCCAGGGAGTCTCCAAAGAGGGAGTGGGCATGGGCACCAGGTGACCCGCAAGCCCGTTTCCACAGTAGCCTGCTCAGTCTCCCCGACATCCACGTTCTCCCACCCCTGAAATCTGGATTATGCAGTTTGCCAAGGACAGGCAGGGCCAGCCATGCCCACCACCCTGGCTGCCATGGGAGGGGTCCTGCCGCCCTGGCTCTGGTGCTCCAGATCTGAGGCAGAGCAAGGAGGGACCAAGACCAGTCCTCTGCTGGCTCACGAGGCCTGGAGCCCAGCCGGCTGGGAAGCTATAAATAGCAGGCGGTGGCGAGGAATCGCTGCTGGGCCCAACTCCCCGCCTGAGTCAGCCCAGCCGGCTGGGACTGGAGCCCTAGGGAGCAGCCAGCAGCGCTGCTGGTCACTTGAGGTAGCTGCCTGAGCGAGCGGCCTGAGATGATGTTCAGGGCCCAATGATGCTCAGGGAGCCAGGCTTGGTCAGGTCACGGTGGAACCTGCACCCAGGCCTAGAAGCTGCACCTTGATGCAGGAGGTGAAAGAAGCCACGGGCGGTGTTAGAGCTGGGGCTGATGGCTGGATGCTGGAGTAAGGGACCAGAAAGGCCAGGGATGAGGCAAGGCGAAGCCAGCGCTCAGCCCTAGAGCCTCAGCCGCAGTGGGCTTGGGGCAACTCGGAGTGTCTGAGAGAACAGGAGGATCCCACCTCAGTCACAGCCCAGAAACAGCCAAGGAGCCAGAGGAAGAGCATCAGCTCACACCCGAGACTGAAAACACACTCCTCCTCACCTGCCAGCCTCCAGGAATCCCCTCCTAGGGTTCCCAACGCCGGCCTCCCCGTGGAGGGGCCCCTCCTCTGACATGCTGGCCCGGGACTGCCTCACACCCACCCCAGGTGCCTTCTTGGGTGTGGAATTCAAGCCCAAAGTCCAGTTTCCTCTGAGATCTGTCCAGATGGGGTCAGGAAGAGCTCGAAGGCAGGAGTGTGCAGGCCTGACATCCCAGCACTCAGGAGGCTGAGGCAGGCAGATCTTTTTTTTTTTTTGTACTGGCGATCGAACTCAGGACCTTGTGCTTTCGAGGCAGGCGGCAGAACCGCTGAGCTAAATCCCCAGCCCTGGCAGATCTTAAATTCCAGCCCAGCCTGGGTAACTTAGGCCCTGCCTCAAAAAAATTAAATAAAAGGCTGGGCATGGAGCATGTTACAGAAGCCCCAGTGCCAGGGGCAGGAGGAGAGGGATATGAGCTCCAGGCCTTAGGGAGGATGAGGGACAGTGGCTTCTGGTTGGCCTGACAACTCACAGGCATCAGACGACACAGGTCCCAGGGTACAGGTTTATTCTCAGAGTCCCCAGTTTAGACCCTGGCCCCGCCCCTCCCTGGGCCCCAGAGCCCAGCTGCCCCTGCCCCAGGCTCACCCACCCAGCCCAGGCCTGCCCTTGACTTCTATCCGCCCATTTCACCCCTGCCCCAGACAAACCCTGGGGTATGGGGTGGGGGAAGCCCCACTGTTCTGAGCCCCGCTTCTGCCCTCTCAGAGCTGTTGACTGTTTTGTGCTTTCTGCAGGTTGAACCCTTGAGTCCAGGCTCTGGGGCTGGCCACACCCCCAGCCCTGTGCCCCCAGGTCCCGAAAGGCCGCTCTGCTTTGCCCTGGGCCGTCCTGTCCCACTCTGGGCTCCCAGCTGAACCAGACCCCTCTGCCCAAACCCTCGCCTGCCACCCCCACCCTGGCGGTCCCCAGGGCCCATACGTCCCCGGCCAGGCCGGGCAGGGGTCCCTGTGGCTGGCGACCTCTCCCTGGGCGCCAGCGGGTCCCGGGCGCGGTGGGGCGGGGACACCGGCGGGCGGGCGGGGACAGCAGCGGACGGGCAGGGCGGGGACAGCAGCGGACGGGCAGGGCGGGGACAGCACGACTGCAGCGGCGGGCCGGCGGGGGGCGGCGCGGCGCGGACAGGAGCCCGAGCAGCAGCGGCCCAGGTAGGCAGCGGGGCCGGGTGGGTGTCGGGGCGGGGGTCCCCGGCGGCCCCACCCTCCCGCGTACCCTCCTTTGTCCCGGCCCCACCCTCCTGGCCTCCTGCCGGGCTGGCGCAGGGCCTCGGCTCGGACCTCGGACAGCTCCCTCCCTTCCTCCTCCCGCCCCTCCCTCTCTCCTGCAGGCTGAGCGCCCCCAGCCCGGGACCGTCTGACCGCCGACCTCCCCAGCCCGAGTCCCCTCCTCACGCAGGCTGCTGGGCCCTGCGTCCCCACCTCCCCCACCACTCAGCCCTAGGTCCCCTCTGCCCACCCAAGACCTCATGGGGACCCCTCCCTGGATGTAGATCCTCCTTGAGTCCAGGGAGCCCCTGGCAGCCCCCCATCATCCTTCCCCTCTCTCAGGCACCGGGAGCCGGACCTGTGCCCACCAAACCCTTCCCTGGCCCCACAGCCCCAGCTCAGACGCCCCTTCCACGTCCCTCCCACCCACGGCATTCCCCAGGGCCATGGGCTGTTGGGGACTGAGGTTACCATCAGGGTCCCAGGGCCCAGCCCCGTGTTGGCCGCAGACCCAGGGCTGGGCAGCTCTGCCTGGCCTGGGGGGCTGGGGGGCTTCCTTGTTGCTCAGGGGAGGACCCCAGGGCCCCATGACCAAGCCCGGATGAGTTCAGGTCCTGCTCTGCCCTGCCACCTCCTGCCTCTGTGACCTTGAGACTGTCTGTCCCCCGCAGGCTTGGCACCCACGACCCCCATTCTGCAGTGGAGCTGGGGTGGATGCAAAGGGCACCAGGCGTGTGGACCGGGGTTATTGAATGGGGGGTCCCAGGAAGAGACAGCGTGATACTTAGGGCATAGCCCTCGGTACCGAACAAATCAGAACTTGGGTCTAGGGCAGCAGAATGCAGCACCACAGGTCCCCCCAGGTCCCCATGGTAGCAGTGTCTGGATGTACCCCATGTCCACCGGAGAGGGAGTGGGCTGGCACGACCCACACCCCGGCCAGCAGCCCCCGCCTCCTCATGCTCAGTTGCCGAGCCTGGGCCCTGAGCACCCACCTCTCTGTTTCAGATGGTCCCTCTCTCCAAGCTCCAAAAAGTTCACCCAGTGCATCCCTGGGCCATGTGTCGGCTGCCACTTTTATCATTCTTTTCTAACAAATCTGGTGCCTTTGATAATTCAGAATGTGCCTTCGAAACCCTTGGTGCAGCTATATGTGCCATTCCCCCCGCACCCCGCAGCCTGGGGACTGTAATAATAATTAAAAAAAAAATTTTAAGTCCTAGGGATTGAACCCAGGGCCTTCACACTGAGTGCCACCCCCAGCCCTTTTTTAATTTCTTACTTTGAAACAGTTGCCCAGGCAGAGTACCGACTTTCACTCCTCCTGCCTCACCTTCCCAGAGTGCTGGTTTACAGCCCTGGATCTTGCCTGAATGGGAAGTGACCCTTAAACCCTCCCCACACACCTGAGGAGAGGAACTTGGCCAAAACGCCCGGGCAGGTGGAGGCCAAGGCCAGGGTAAATGTGTGACTCCTCTCCCCAGAGGAGGGACCGCAGACCCAGAGCTGACTGGGAAGGATGAAGGGAAGGGGTCTCCCCTGCTTTATCTGAGTGAGGACATTGCTTCTGCCCACAATTCTCCCTGCACTAAAGCACTTCAGGAATCTCCGTGCTGTGTGATCTTCTGAGGCACTGGGCATCTCTGAGCACAAAAGTGAGAGATAAGAGACTCCCCAGGGAGTTCTGTTCCTAAGGACACATTAGGCTTGAGCAGGAGGCCAGGGCATGCCAGACCCTTATGTGGATGCCGAGTTTAGGAAGCCAGGAGTTTTCTATTCTTTTTTTGTACTGGGAATGGAACCCAAGGCCTTCACACTGAGCTGCATTCCCAGCCTTTTTTCATTTTTTAATTTAGAGACAGGGTCTGGCTAACTAACTTGCCCAGGCTGGACTGGAACTTGGGATCCTCCTGCCTCAGGTTCCCCAAGTGCTGAGATCACAAGTGTGTGCCACCGTGCCCAGCTTACCTCTAGTTTTGATTCTCATCTTTACCTGGGCTGAAAGTTCCTGCCTCCCTGGGTACCACTGTAGGAAATCAGCATCACAATTTTCAAATTATGGTTCCTAGACCCTCAGCACCAGGGTCATAGTTATCGGGGAACAGAGTGGTAGCTTAAACAATACTAGTTCCCAGCCCTGGGGCTATAGCTCAGTAGTAAGAGCTTGCCTAGCATATGTGAGGCCTGGGTTCCATCCCCAGCACTGCAAAAAATAAAATAAAGTGTAAGTTGGCTATGACCCACGCCAACTAATTTGGCACTTGTAGGACTGAGCCCCTGAAATCTGCATTTTTTGAGGTACTGGGAGCTGAACCCAGGGCCTTCCCACTCAGGTACATCCCCAGCCCACCCCCCTTTTTTCTTTTGGTACCGGGGATCGAAGTCAGGTCCTTGCACTTGCGCAGCAGGCGGCAAAAGCAGTGAGCTAAATCCCCGCCCCCCCCAGCCCTTTAAAATTATTTATTTATTTGTTTGTTTGTTTTGGTACCGGGAATTGAACTCAGGTCCTTGTGGTTGCACAGCAGGCGGTGAAACCACTGAGCTAAATCCCCGGCCCTCGCAGTGATTTTTTGCTTATTCACTTGGGCCTTGCCTTTGCTCTGGGAGATGCAGAAATCTTCCGGCCTACCCACGCTGGTCTTCCTTACTCCTGTTGCTAAAAATGAAGCCCTCAAAGTTAAAGAGCAACCAGCCCTGTGTTCAGTGGGGCTGGTCAGGTGGCACTGCACATCTTGGGGTACGTTATCATCCCTGAGTTCATTTTCTTACCGCCCCCCTTGGTTCTGGGAATTCAACCTGAGGCCTCACGCATGCCAGGCTCCTTGAGTTTGTTCTAAAATCATCAGAGGTCTCTTGGAGGTGGGGGTGGTGCTAGGGAGTGAGCCAGGATTTTAAAATTATAAAGGGTGATGTGAGTATAGGATATGATATTACCTTTATAATGCTAGACAAAGTGGTGCACACCTGTAATCCCAGCACTCAGGAGGCTGAGGCAGGAGGATTGCTGTGAGTTTGAGGCCAGCCTGGCCCACATAATGAAGCCCTGTCTCAGAAACAAAAACAAACTAAAACACACACAAAAAGATGTTATCTTCATGATGAAATTAGAAGACAAAATTTAGAGATCTTGGTAGTAATAGTCCAGTCGATAAAAGAAGGGTGGCTGTGGCACTGCCTCACAAGAACCTGAGAGATCCCGTGAGGCAAAGCTCATAGCAGCCCGGTGGGACACCTGGCTCGGGCCTGGCCTCATCAGCGGAAGGTGGCCCAGCCCGTGGGAGCTTCGGTGTGGCCTGGAGTACCGGTGTCCAGCAGAGCAGGCTGAGCACAAGGTTGAGTCACAGCTGGGCAATTTAGCCAGATTCTGTCTCAAAATAAAAAAGAGCCTGATGTAGCCCAGTGATAGAGTTGTCCCGGGTCCAATCCCTGGTAGCACCAAAAAGGGAAAAGGAAGGAAGAAAGGGGGTTAGAATCGGACATAGTTTTTTAAAAAAGAAAAGTATAAGGGCTACTTTAACAAAAATAATCATTTTCTCCCTGCGATTCATGCCCTCCTAGAGCATCTATGCAGTTGTGAGCATATTTGTAGGTGATTCATCTCCCTGCATTTTTAGTGTGTTTGCTTTGTTTTCTCTTTTTGGGATCAAACTCAGGACCTTGCGCTTTCAAGGCAGGCAGCAGCACCGCTGAGCTAAATCCCTGGCCCTTGGTTTGTTTTCTTAAGATGGGGTCTTCTGTAGTCTAGGCTGGCTTTGAACTTGCTGTGTAGCTCAGGCTGGCCTCCTGATTCTCCAGCCTCAGCCTCCTGAGTGCTAGGATTTTAAGAGTGTGCCACCAAGCCTGACTGTCTCCCTGCATTTTTCTGCTGGTAATCTGCCATCCATACTCTTTGGTACTACTACTTTTTTTTTTTTTTT